CAATGAGAATGAATTCATACTCAATAGAAATTGTGAAATAACGACTCCTTTTGTGGAAACTAAACTTGAGAATCTCGATCTCCAATTTCCATGGCTACTTAATTTCAATAGTAATTTAGGGAAAGTTATTCTCTAATATTTGGGCTACTTGGCTTGCCGTCACTACGCAATTGAGAAGGGCTAATTACTAGAATTCGAAGGCACGCGGACAGACCATCTCTCCCTGAAAAAAATATCTTCTTCTTCTCAACTTGCTTTCATCTCATGTTGAAACTCTATTTATTTTGCTATGCTTTCTTCCTTAGATAAAATGATTTCAAGTTGATGTCTAAATCAAACTGTGATGATTTACGTACTAGTGCATTCCTAATTAAGTTTGTCCAATTTGGAGATATTTTAATTCCCTTGTTATCCTTTCCTACTTGTATTCTGATCGATTGGGCTCATTATCAATTTCTTTAATTTGTATTGTTCATTCGGATACATTTCTATCTCCTTTAATAAAAGTTTTTTACGTCCTTTTTTTTAGGTTCTTACATCATGCAAGTGGAATTTTAAAGTCCTTAATCAATCTAGGCATGAAAAGAAGTAGGATTTCATAAAACGCAAGACTTCTATCACGATTTTATCTGAATTACCTCTTTCTATTGGGCTTAACAATACTAATAGCGGCACGCTTGTGCAAACACATCATACAAAACACTAAGGGCTTTGAATATTTAAAATCGTTCATGTAATTTAGATTAGATTAAGTATAATATCGTTTGTATAAAAAAAAACAATAAATAAATACAAAGCCACACTTTTTGGGGTGAACAAATACAAAGCCACAACTCTAACCAGAGCTGCTGCCTGTTGGGCATTCTAATCTTATATATAATGCTCTCACTACCTCAAGATCTCATAAGATGCAGACAGTATTCTTCAAAAATTATAACCTGTCTTCATCAACCAAAGCTCTCAGTGAAATCATACTAGCATAAAATTTGGATAAGACTCTACAAGGCACAAAGTCTGTATCAGACACATTTTATTTACCGCATATTTCCTAAACAAGCTCAAACACCTGACAAGATGAAACCATCGAACACAAATTGGTAGCATAGATTTCCTAAAACAGGTGAACAACGAGGAAAAGAGAGCAAGATATGTTTAAGGCACAAAGGATATAGTAAAAAGAAAACAAGATAGAGTAAACACAGAAATCATACCACAAAGACAATATCATGCTCAATTAGGAGACTTACATGACAATCAGAAAATCAGAACCCAAAGAGTTTTGACAGCAGTAGTTAAGAAAAGAAATTCTATTAAAAGCTAAAGAAAAGAAGCTCTAATATGCCTCGCTTCTGTCACCTGAAAAAGGGCCCAGGACATATATTGAACATAATTGATTAACACAACGCTAATACCAGAACAATCTACACACAACCCAAAAGTCCATACATTTTTAAAAAATAAGCTTAATGTACACATTTTTAAACTGTAGAAGGGTAAAACAAGTCAATTTGTGGTGTGCCAAGCCAACCTTACTAGTTATTCTACTCTGATACACATAACAGTTAGAACTATAGAGCAGGGATGGTATAATTAGAGACCAAACAGTACAGAAACTGCGTATGCTCCCCATTAGAAACTCTGCCCCACTGCAGGCTGAGGCACATCAGAAAGTACCATTTTTTTTTTTTTTTTTTTTTTTTTTTTGTAAATGATGAACCAAGGATCCAGTTTAACATGTCCAAATAAAAATGGTTTCCTATTTTTATTATTTGGAGTGCCCTCTCAGCTCTGGCAATTGTTTAAAACGCGGCACTTCTAAGGTTTCTATTTACTTGATTTTCAGTCATTGATAAAAGAAATTTTGAGCGGCTTAATTTGTGCTCATGTACATTGACAGAGAACGTTTGAAAAGGTGAATATTACAATACCAAATGAACTCTAACCAGAGCTGTATACAATTTTATTTACCAGATAGGGGAAACTTAAATAAAAAATTCATTACTGCTTGCTGGGCATTCTAATCTATATATAATGCTCAAACTACATCAAAATCTCATAATGCAGATAGTATACTTTAAAACTTACTTCCAACCTTTCTTCTTCATCAACCCAAGTTCTCAGTGAAATCATACTAGTATGAAACAAACCTAAATTTTATTTACCACAGATTTCCTAAACAAGGCTCAAAACTCGATAAGAGGAAACAAAGAACACAAATTGGTAGCGTAGATTTCCTAAACAGTAGTAGCTCTGTAAATTGTCGCATGAAATGTCATTGATCTTAAAAACATAACCATAGTGACAGCAACATAATTGAGACCCCAGAAAAAGAAACAAAAAGGAGGGAGAAATCTAAGTCACAAAAGAAAAAACAAAGAAAACACTGCTGGGTTATTTCATAAATATAGGGGAGAAATGAAGATGGTGTACCTGATTATCAGAGTCACTGATGCAAATGCCACTGCAGGGTTTAAAAGAAGGGGGCACACTCCATAGTTTTCCTTCATATTATGGCATTTTGACGTGAAGAGACAGTACAGAGTGAAAAAAAAAATTTGGGGGGACCTGACCGGCCAACAACCGTTGCAACTGAACATCTTTGACAGAAATCCTTATTAAATCAAACCAACATAAAGATGCAGAAAGATTTTTACAAGGAATAATTTGTTGCTCAAGATGCTAAATATTCTGGCTTGCATCATTATCATTCTTTATTAAACCAAAAAGAAAAAGAAAAACTAGCACAATGATAAACTCAGAAAGCAATGTACTCAGAACAAAGAAAAAAAACTTTATGAACAAGCACATACTTTGCTAATGTTTCCAAGATATCTGCATGTCTTGGATTGCATCAGGCAGAGACAACTATATCCACATTGGAAACCTCATCTATACAAATTAGAAGTAAAACTTAAGAGATTCGCTAATAATAGCAAGATTCTAAGTTATCTATAACAAATTAGAAATACTGTTGAGGTGGCTCTCAATGAAGCATCAATTGTGGGATATGAATTGCACAACACTTGAGATGTCTCATTTAAAAGAATACAACTGAGGCCCTTGCACACCAACCTTCTCAACAGTTCCTATTGATCTTAAAATGTGAATCTAAGCCAATGGGTCCTTTGTATCTTCACAGCATTATAAAAGTACTAACTTATCAACCCATGGGTCTATAGCCAAGAAATTTAACTTATCGTCACCTCCCATGCACAAGCTCAAAGATCTCATCGCCTTCGGAGTGGCATACATAGATCCCTCTAAGCCAAGTAGGAAGTATTTGAAAATAATAATAATAATAATAATGGTTATAGCATCCAAGACATCACTATAGAAGCTTTACAAAAAGATCACTGCACAAACCTTTATAGCACTTTTAGAAATGATTGTGATACATTATGTATTGAAATTAGCTTTTTCTTAAGAACAATGTTAGCCAAGCCTAAAGAAAGATAACAAATCTTTACTGTATGGAAGGTTACAAGAAAACCTATTAGAACAATCAATAATGGGAATTTTTCCACACTCCATTTCTCCTTTCAATTTTTAAAAAAACAATAGTATCTGTAATATAAGATCTTAGCAATTTTACCTGAAATATCCATGATATAACCCTTATTGAAGAGATGATGAAGGCAACACAACTCCAACAGCAATGCAAACTCCACACTGTAGCAGCCACCAAGCCAAAAGATTGAAAGAAAAAACCATTATAAGAAGCAATCCCAAGCTTCTGTACTAGCTCAACGAAATTTGGATAGTGCAGGGAATAGCAAACTGAAAACTCCACAGGGAACAAGTGTGTATTAACAAACACAAATTTATTACCTAGAGTTTTCCTAAACAGGCATAAACACCTGACAAGATGAAACCAACGAACACACAATTGGTAGCATAGATTTCCTAAATGTAGCAGCTCTGTAAATTGTTGCATGAATGTCATTCATATTTACAGCATAAATTTAGAGGTGAAACGGAGATGGGGTACCTCATTAACAGTGTTACTGAAGCAAATGCCAATGCTGGGATTAGATGAGTGGGGCACACACTCCATAGCAACAACCTTTGCAACTGAACAGCTTATACAAGAAATCATTTTATTTTTACAGATGCTAAACACTTATTCATCATTTCATTCCTTTAATAAATCAAACAGACTTTAAGATGCAGAACCTGATTAGCTGGAGTTTGGAATTTCGCTATGGTTTACGTTCATAGGGCAAAAAAGCTGCGGGCTGATGCACCTGCGAAGATGGGCAATTGTCTCCAAGTTCTTGATAAACTTCCATGGCATTTGATTTCAGTTTTAATTGCAACTTACATACTTTTGTCCCTCATGCCCAAACCATTCGCTCTCATTTGCATTAGTCATCAAATAACAATCACACAAAAACTGGCACAAAAACAGAAAACAAAACTATACAAAAAAGTAGAGAAAGAGCACAATGGTCCACTTCATCTGACACGTACAATGTTGATATGAGTATTAATGTATATGGCCAATGAACATGGATAGTATACACAAACACACACAACAGAACATACACACTTTATCTTCTGTTGTATCCTGGAAAAAGTTCCATAAAGTAAACATTTTTAGAAACGATATCCACATTGGAAACCTCATCTATAACAAATTATATCGTGGAACATACACACATGCCTATCTTATTATGCATCATAACAGTGCATACTTTGCTAATGTTTCCAAGATATCTGGATGTGTAGCATGCATCAGGCAGATACAACTATATCCCATAGGAAACCTCATCTATAACACATTAGAAGGTAACTTAAAGAGATTTCCTAATAGCAAGATTCTAAGTCATCTATCTTGTCGAGCAATGGGTATATTCCAAATCTGGATCTCAACAACAAAAAATCAGAATATAGATATATATAATCAACTACGATATACAACAAATAACAGAGCAAGGTGGCTTGTAAAACTATGCCTCATTTTCCTTGTAAACTCTAACCTGTACTTCAGTAGCCGGATCTCACCTTCCTCCCAAGCGCCTTTCCTGCCAGCAGATCCGCCTTCCTCCAATGCTCCATTCAGAAACGCTCCTCGTCCTGACCCTGCAACTCGTCATCTTCCTGAGGTACAAACCCAAATGCTTAAGAGGCAATCCAAGGTAGACCTTTTCACTGCCACAGCCACACAGAATCTCAGTTGTTTGAGATCCTTTAGGGTCCTCAAATGGGACTGACTTCTCCATGTTCAAAAATAGCAAGGCGAGCCGATTCCCTTTGCTCCATCCGATGTATCAATTTTCTCCTTGGTGGAGAATCAGGTAGACCCTTAGTATCTTGTTGCTTTCGTATGTACCTGAAAATCGCATCTTGAGCGACTGAATTCGCCTAGCCTTACATGGGAAAGATTTTCTGTGGCTGATACATGGCATGCTGAACAAGGGTGCCCAAGTCATCATCTTTTGACTTAACTGAGTGAGAATCAGAAACCCCAAACACCCCTTGACTTTGCATAAGAACCCTACAAGCAGAAGAGCTCTTGCCATTTGGTCTCCGTTTGGGCAGAGGAGGAGTAGGAGGAGGACAGCAGCATTTGACATTCTTCTCGGCTTCTTTCCATTGGGTCTCAAAACCCCACGAGATGCTTGGCTGCTGCACGATTTCTACTCCCAAGGGGGAAATATCTGAAAGCGTTTGAGAAGATAAGCCTGATATCAGCAGCAAAGTCATCAGCGCTGGAGTACACACCCCTCTCCAATTTCGATTTCACAGTACCCAAATCCCATCGTCCTCCAGATTTCGTCGAAATAACCCGGCAGATTCTCAGCCACAGGATCAACAACAGGCTTGTTGAAGTAGCTCGCATGGCCGAGGTTCATCAGAGAATCCAAGACCTTAGAACAATCCAACGTCTCTTTTGAAGCAGACGAAGCCAAACCTTTGACTTTGCGCAGAGGAAGACCACAGTCGACTTTTCCTTCCGTTGGGTCTTAGAAACCCTAGAAGACCTCTTCCTCTTCTGGGTTTGACAGATTTCATCAAAACCCTCTTTTGATTCCGGGTTGGCATTTTTTGTAGCAGACGAAGCCAAACCCATGCACAGAGGAAGACCAACAGTCGACTTTTTTTTCAACGGCTACATTCCGTTGGGTCTCAGAAACCCTAGAAGACCTCTTCCTCTTCTGGGTCTGACAGATTTCATCAAAACCCAGATCTTCTGATTCTGTTCGGCATTTTTTGTAGCAGACGAAGCCAAACCCTCGCGCAGAGGAAGACCAACGGTCGACTTTTCCTCAACGGCTACATTCCGTTGGGTCTCAGAAACCCTAGACGACCTTATCCTCTTCTGGGTCTGAAACTGAAACTCAAAGGAGCCAAAATCATCCTCCAATTGTCTGCGCTTTATAGCAGACCACGCCATTCTTGATTTCAGAACCCCAAATTTCACACAGTCGTTACAGAGAGAGAACCCAGAAAATCACTCATTCAATCGTTGCAGAAAAAATCACTCGCTCAATCGTTGAACTCAATACTCTCTCTCGATCGCTTTCGCTTACTTGTTGCAGAGAAACAGACAGAGACGAAAAGAAGAGGGAATGTATTGTTGTGGCGCTATTTTGGTTTTCAAAATGTTAAATGAAAGGTCGGTGTGATAACTCGGTGACTCAGTTGCTGAGTTGTTGCGCGTAAAAAACACGCGGAAACACCAGCTGTTTTAATTAAATGCTAACTCGGTGAGTCAAGTACTAAACAAATTTCATGCAAAATTTTAAGAAAATATTTTTCCTTTCCTTTCCTATTGTCAAATTAATTTGTCTAAACTCACTCCAGATATTTTTCCCTTTTCTTTCCTTTCCTTTCCTATTTGTTAAAGGTAAAATCAAAAGACACAAAATGAAAGAATTTGATATACCTATCTACAATAGAAAAATATTTCCACACACATAGACGTGGGGTTAATTTTATTTTTTATTTTTATGAATTATTGAAAGATAAGTAAATAAAAATAGAATCACATAACAATATTCATTTTGTGTGAATTTTTTTATTTTTGAACCAAACTACGGTCTAGTTCGATTTTTACACACACAAAAATGTGTAATTTCGATTTGAAATGAACCAAAATGCAATTATTGGTTTATAATATTTCACTTATATGTTTCATCTCATACATTGATATCAACGATTTAGTAGCAAAAAATAAAATCTCAACATCATTCAAATTTGGTATTATATCTCGCAAAATTTCACATTTTCAAAGGGAAATTTTCTCAACTATAACCAGAAAATAACTGAACCAGACCAGTCACTAAATGAATTGGTTTTTAATTCAATGATATAATTAGGGTTTAATGTCTAGAGCGAATTAATCGAATCACGTCCATTCTAGTATAAAATTGTGATAGGTTTTTCAATGACATGATACTGTTTTTTTTAAAATTTTTTTATTTATCAATATGATGGGAGATTCGAACATGAAACCTCATCTAACCTTGGAATACTATTAATAATTAAAGAAAAGATATATAAATTTGCCCATGTGCCTAAGTTCGAGAACCAAGCCCCAAGAGTGTTTTGATAGATTCGTGGAGCCTTAGAAAACACTTTCAGATTCCTTTCACCAATAAATCAAACGCTTGTGATAGATTAGCAATATGGCTTGACTTGAGAAGTTTGTGGCATGGGAACTAAGCCTTCACAAGTTTAGCAGTAGAGAGAAATAGCTTGAATTTCTTATGGAAACGAAGGTATAAAGTAAGGGGAGAGAGAGATTTAGGGGGGATTTTGAGTGTCCGTCCAACATGTCTTGGCTGGACTGGGAGGATTCGTTTGCTGCATTCAAGGCTTTTTTCAATGGTGACATCAAGGTCCTCAGGTCTATTGCTGAACTTTCTTCCGTTTTGCCACAGTTTTTAAGTTTCTGCGACATTCGGGGTGCCTTTGTGTATCTGTAAACAATTGAAGCTTTGAGCAGATTCTTTGACAGGTATGAGGCTTTTATGGAGAGTAGGTGTTCTCTCCCTGCTTTCTCAAGGAGTGCGGCCTTTCGGGTTCTCAACTTGGTGCTTTTATGGCATGGATACAATGCATCTCTTAGACATTACATATTATAAATTCCTTTGCTGGCGGGATGTGATCTGCGAAGCCATGCCTTGGAGATTTCGAGCGGATTTCTTCTTAACATGCTGAAGGATTTAGCATGTGCTGTTTTTGGCGCTCGGGCCAGAAGTCGTTGATTGGTTTTGATGGGATAAAGGTTGCAGTTGATACTTTGAGCCTTAAGCAACGAGAATTGGAGGATCATTGCCATGAACTGCATGCTTTTCTTTTGGCCAAAAGGGCTGCTGCCAGTGGTGCCGAATGCGTGGTTAAAGCATCTGCTAGGTCATCTCATGATGCTTCCTCTGTCTTCTTTTTTTTTTTTTTTTTTTTTTTTTTTTTTTTTTTTTTTTTTTTTTTTTTTTTTTTTTTTTTTTTTTTTTTTTTTTTTTTTTTTTTTTTTTTTTTTTTTTTTTTTTTTTTTTTTTTTTTTTTTTTTTTTTTTTTTTTTTTTTTTTTTTTTTTTTTTTTTTTTTTTTTTTTTTTTTTTTTTTTTTTTTTTTTTTTTTTTTTTTTTTTTTTTTTTTTTTTTTTTTTTTTTTTTTTTTTTTTTTTTTTTTTTTTTTTTTTTTTTTTTTTTTTTTTTTTTTTTTTTTTTTTTTTTTTTTTTTTTTTTTTTTTTTTTTTTTTTTTTTTTTTTTTTTTTTTTTTTTTTTTTTTTTTTTTTTTTTTTTTTTTTTTTTTTTTTTTTTTTTTTTTTTTTGTGGTTTGTCTAAGGTGTTATTACACGGTGGTTTTATAAAACCGTTGTCTTTTAAAAAACAACGACGGTTTTCACTTAGACCGTCGTTTTTTTTCTGGTCGTCTTTGTCACTTTTTGTAGTAGTGTTTATGAAACTCGTGAGCAACTTGTGCTTAAAAACTTAATATTTAAAGCCAGAAAGAGAGGTAGGAGAGATGAATAATCAGAATTGTAAATCAAAATGGAAATGGAAAATAGGAGATTCTAATCAATAATTTTCTTTCAGAATTAAAACAGTATGTTATCAAATGGAAATGGAAAATAGAAGACGCTAATCAATAATTTTCTTTCAGAAGAAAAACAGTTTGTTATCCTTTGAAATGCTTCAAGATGATCAATGGTGAAATGCTTCAGTTTTCTTTTTCTGTTTTTTTCTTTTTTTTTTGGTTTGACCAAGCCATTATAACAACAGTGACAGTAAATAAAGAGATGGATAAACGAGGCTGGGCTGCCAGTGGCAATAAATAGAAATTTCACCAAATATTTCAAATGCATACCAGCACTGCCAAAAGCTTCATGGATGTTGAAAGTGTACAATATCTACAAGCTTCTGGACAACCTGTAAACACAAGATTTTAGATAGGGTTTCTGGAATAATACTTCACACGATACTGCTTCTCTAGACAAGAAAGCCATCAAGGTTGATCATCAATACTCCTAAGCATTAAATTGTACATAATTCCTTCCTGTATGCACCTAAAAAGAGCTAAATAAAGCAAACTGACTCACATCTTCAAAAGTCTTTGACCAGAGTATTTTTTCTTTAAACTGCTTACAAACTTCTCTTGCACCTCTACATCAGCTCTCAAAATTGCAAGGCTGTCTCCTGCATGTCAAGAAGTTATTTAGACAATATTATGCAAAGTCTGATTGTCCTTATAGCAACAAGGATACAATAGCAACCCCCGTGAATATAGATGCATAATTCAGAGAGGAGTCTGCTCTTAAAATTAGGAAAGCCCACGTTCTGAACTCAAACAAAAACAGAAATTAGAGGTTAAATGGTGCCTTACTTTCCAGGTCCAGCCAGAAAGAAGGATACAAACAGAATAAACAAGTAAAATTATAGCAAAAAAAATAATGCCAGCTCAAAACTTAAAAATCTATTGCGTGAACTTGAAGCTCTCTAAAGCTATCCATCACAAATTAAAAACAAATTAATGTTAAACGTAATGCATTTGTATCAGTTGTTAAAGTAAAGAGTTGTGTCTCTTGATGGAAAGTTATGTTTAGGAAAGGTTGTATCTCTTTAGAAGTCTAGAGTTGTGTCTGCAACTCTTGGAACTAATCCAAGAGTTATGTCTGTTTATGAAATGGTCTGAGTGCTATTATATATAGTCAACGTTATAGGCTGCTGTATAGATCACAGAAGTTAACAAAAAAATCTGTTTGAATAATTCTCTGTTTTACAAACACTCTCTGCCTCAGTTTATATTTCCATAATATATACTTCAGTTTTGTGATCATTCCCTTAACAAATTTGGTACCAGAGCAATATTTGATCTTATTGCTACCGCTGTGATTAGCAATGGCATCAAGTTCAAATTCCTCTACCATTGGGAATATCCAAAATCTAATGCCTATTTTTATGGTGAGAATTATGAGTATTGGAGTGTTCAAATGAAGACTCTGTTCATCTCCCAGGATCTTTGGGATATTGTTGAAGATGGATATAAGGAGCAAGAAACATCAAAAGCAGGAAAGGAAACACAAGAAAAGCAGCAGACTTACAAGGAAAATAAGAAAAAAGATGCCAAGGCATTGTTTCTAATTCAACAAGGAGTAAGCAAAAATCTCTTTCCAAGATTACTTCCAGCAACACATCAAAGCAGGCTTGGGAAATTCTCAAAATTGAGTTCAAAGGTTCAGAAAAAGTGATCTCCATCAAACTGCAATCCTTATGGCGGGAATTTGATAACTTACTTATGAAAGACAGTGAATCCATTCAAGTATTCTTCACAAAGGTTTCTGGGATTGTGAACCAAATCAGATGTTATGGGGACACTATTCCAGACAAGAAAATCGTAGAGAAAACTTTACGAAGTCTACCGCTAAAATATGATCATGTCGCTGCTGCTATAGAAGAATCAAAATATTTATCTACACTTTCTTTACATGAATTAATTGGTTCATTGGAAGCACATGAAAAAGAATCAACAGATCCACAGAACAATCTGTGGAGCAAGCTTTCCAGTCCAAGGTGAATTCGAAAGAGAAAGAAGACAAACAAAAAGGAGGACAATTCCATAAATCTAAAAATGGGAGAAACAAAAATTTTGGGCGTAGAAACTCCAACAAAGGAGGCAACAGTTTCAATAATCAACAACAAGGCAGCAGTCCCAATCATCAACAAGGAAGCAGCAGTTCCAATAATCACAAGGAAGCAGCAATTCAAATAATCAAAATGTAAGATCATCCCTTCAATGCTATGTTTGCAACAAATATGGGCATAAAAGTGCAGATTACTGATACAAATGTACCCGGTGCAGGATACCCAACCATTCACAAAGAGACTGCATATACCAAAAAAACAATTAAGCAAATTTTACGGAGAACAATGACTCTCAAGAGCAATTATTTTATACATCTTTCAGTTCTCATCAAGATTCACAAGATGTTTGGTATGTGGATAGCGGATGCAGTAATCATATGACAGGAAATAAGCATTGCTTTGTCAAGTTAGAAGAAAAAGTGAACTCACAAGTCAAGCTTGGTGATGGAAAACTACACAACGTGGAAGGCAAAGGTATCATTTCTGTGCAAACAAAAGGAGGTACTCCAAAACTTGTCTATGATGTGCTGTATGTTCCTAATTTGGCTCAAAATTTACTAAGTGTGGGACAACTTTTGCAAAGAGGATTCTTGGTGAAATTTGAAGATGATTATTGTGTTATTTTTTATAAAAAAGAATAACACTCTAGTGGCAAAGATAAAAATGACAGCAAACAAAGTTTTTCCGCTGTTGATGACATCAAAGGAAAACTTTGCTTTAGAAGCAGAAAAAGTTGATGGATCGTTGTTATGGCATTTAAGATATGGGCATTTGAATCAAAGAAGCTTGCAGCTGTTACACCAGAAAAATATGGTGGTTGGACTTCCCTCTATTCACTCTGAAAAGGAAATTTGTGAAGGCTGTATCTTTGGAAAATTCCATCGGTTACCATTCTCACAATCATCTTGGAGAGCAAAAGCCCCTCTTGAATTGGTACATGCAGATATTTGCGGACCAACTCGTACACCATCCTTCAATAACAAAAGGTACTTCATTCTATTCGTAGATGATTTCTCAAGGATGATGTGGGTATATTTCTTAGAACAAAAGTCAGAAGCATTTTCTGATTTCAAGCAATTCAAAGCTTTTGGAGAAAATCAAAGTGGTCACAATTTGAAGGTGTTAAGAACAGATCGTGGTGGAGAGTTTACATGAAATGAATTTTCTGAATATTGCAAAAGCAATGGTATTAAAAGAGAGTTGACAGCAAGGTACACCCCACAGCAAAACGGAGTTGCCGAATGAAGAAATCGTACCATTGTCGAGATGGCAAGAAGCATGTTGAAGGCAAAGAGTCTGCCAAATACATTTTGGGCTGAAGCAATTCATACAACAGTTTTTATTCTTAATCGGTCTCCAACCAAAGCAGTCAAAGATAAGACTCCTTTTGAAGCATGGCATTGTTTTAAACCAAAGGTGGATTTCTTCAAGATTTTTGGGTGCACTGCATATGCACATATCCCTTCTCAAAAGAGAGAAAAATTTGATGAGAAAGGTGAGAAATATATTTTTGTGGGATATAGTGATCAGTCTAAAGCTTACAGAATAATTGATCCAAGAACCAAAAGTTTGGTAATTTCTAGAGATGTTATTTTTGATGAACTCAAAACTTGGAAATGGGAGAATTATGATATTGAAGTGCCAAAATTTTTTGAGGAACCAGATTCATCACATTCAGAAGAAACTCAGTTCCTTCAAAGTCCAATTCCAAGTGCAAGAACATCTGATCCTAGTTCACCAGATTCAACTCCTAGACTAAACGCAAGAACATGTTCATTGGCAGACATATATGAGTCATGTGATCTTGCTTTGAGTGCTTTGGAGCCTCAAAAATTTGAGGAAGCTGTAAAAGAAAATATTTGGCAAGATGCAATGGATGAGGAAATAAGAGTTATCAAGAAAAATAGAACCTAGGAACTTGTTGATCGACCCAAATCAAAAGATATCATTGGACTTAAATGGGTCTACAAGACAAAGTTTAATGAAGATGGCTCAATCCAAAAGCATAAGGCTCGCTTGGTTGCAAAAGGATATTCTCAACAACCAGGAATTGATTTTAATGAGACGTTTGCTCCAGTAGTCCGAATGGAAACTATAAGAACTGTTTTGGCTTTAGCTGCTCAACTGAAGACAAAAGTTTATCAATTGGATGTCAAATCTGCATTTTTAAATGGAGAACTTGAAGAAGAGGTTTATGTGGAGCAACCTCAAGGTTATGTTGAGAAAGGGAGGGAAGATAAAGTTTATCGCCTCCGTAAAGCCTTATATGGTTTAAAGCAAGTGCCAAGAGCCTGGAACAACAAAATTGATCAATATTTTCAGCAAAATGGATTTACAAGAAGCTTAAGTGAGCCATCACTTTATCTCAAGAAAGAAGGTACACATGATTTTCTGATTTTGTGCCTCTATGTTGATGATTTGATTTATACAAGCACAAATCCAAGGATGGCAGAAGTTTTCAAGAAGAACATGATGAAGGAATATGAGATGACAGATTTAGGCACTATGAGATATTTTCTTGGTATACAGGTTCAACAATCAGATGAGGGAATATTTATTTCTCAAGAGAAGTATGCTGAAAATCTGTTGAAAAAATTCAATATGTTGAAGAGCAAGCCAATGGATACTCCAATGGCAATTAATTTGAAGCTTACAAGTAACGATGGAGCACCTAAGTTTGATGCATCCATATATAGAAGTGTGGTTGGTTCATTAATTTATCTTACAAATACAAGGCCAGATATTGTTCATGCTGTAAGTGTGGTATCTAGATTCATGAGTGATCCAAGTAATCACCATTTTGCTGCAGTAAAAAGAATACTCAGATACATACAAGGAACCAAGGGATATGGTATTAGATATACACAAGGGAAGAAAGCACAGTTAGTTGGCTACACAGACAGTGACTGGGCAGGTGCAATTGATGATAGAAAAGCACCTCTGGACATGTGTTTTTCTTGGGAAGTAAAGTTATATCATGGTCATCGAAGAAGCAAAGTACAGTGGCATTATCAACAGCCGAAGCAGAGTATATTTCAGCCACAAGAACAAAACACTCCAATAAAATTGTACTGTGATAACATGTCCACAATTGCCATGACAAAGAACCCAGTCTTTCATAGCAGGTCAAAGCACATAGAACTTCGTCATCATTTTATCAAAAAATTGGTTGAAGACGGAGAGATTGAACTGAAATTCTGTGGTACTGATGAGCAGATTGCAGATGTTTTTACAAAGCACTTCCAAGAGAGAAGTTCTGCTATTTCAGAGAAAGACTAAATGTCGCAAGACAAATGCATTAAGAGGGAGTGTTAAACGTAATGCATTTGTATCAGTTGTTAAAGTAAAGAGTTGTGTCTCTTGATGGAAAGTTATGTTTAGGAAAGGTTGTATCTCTTTAGAAGTCTAGAGTTGTGTCTACAACTCTTGGAACTAATCCAAGAGTTATGTCTATTTATGAAATGGTCTGAGTGCTATTATATATAGCCAACGTTATAGGCTGCTGTATAGATCACAGAAGTTAACAAAAAAATCTGTTTGAATAATTCTCTGTTTTACAAACACTCTCTGCCTCAGTTTATATTTCGATCATATATACTTCAGTTTTGTGATCATTCCCCTAACAATTAAAAACAAATTTTCTTTTTTTAACTAAGCTGTAGGTTACCTCTTCTAGCAGCATTTGAACCATCTTCTTTAAGCCTATGCTGATACTCTTGTTCCAGTCTGTCCAACAATTGCAACTCATGACATAATTCCTGAAACCAGGAAACAAATTTTTCTTCTCTTCAGTAAAGTTCTAAAGGACAATACATATCTGCCATTAATTCAGGGAAAGCTGTGAAGTGTGAAAAGGAGATAATGAATGCATTCTCCATCCAATTCCTTGCAAAAGAAGTACAATGTTAAGTAGAAAATTCATGTAACCAAGGAAAAGATGTACTGTGTATACATATAGATCTTCCGCAGGGTGAGAAAAGGAATTTGTGTTTTGATAATGTTACTGATACAACAGTAACGTGATAAACAGGTATAGGATTTTCACAGCTAAACCATCAACAGATACTGCTGTAAGTAAGAGATCAGCATTTTCTATATAACAGTAACATGTAAATATTCACTGCTGTTGACTGAACTAAAGTCATCAATTGTTCCATATCTGCCTGTGCTTGCCTTTTGAAATGCTTCTGTTGTATAACTTTTGAACCAATCCTAATATAATACAAAATTGCAGATGGAACACATGAGAATCTCAATTTAAATGTTGTAAATGACCAAGAAAATAGAGTCACAATATTCATTAGTATTACATTACTCCTCAAAATAGAAGTCCAAATTGGGCCACATCAGATATTTAGAATGCTTTCCAAAACGCACAACGTCACTGGAAAATGTTTTCAGTTCTCCTCTGCCAATGTTGAACAGCATAACATTCTTTCATTAATGTAACAAACATATGAAAAAATAACCAGAAATTATATGGTGATAATAAACAACAAGAAATACTCACTCCGAAAACAGAAAAAACATAAATGATATCTGATTAACCACCTCTTGTCAGCAGCAGCAATTCTCAGGAGCTCATCCATATCTCTAAATATTAAAGTTTGCACCCCTTTTGATGGTAGCACCACCTCCTTTAAATGTCTGACATTATCCTCTGAAAGGGATTGCATCAGGTTGGTACCCTTGACAATTGTGTTTGTAACTTCAAAAGCCAAAATTGAAATTGTATTCTCTTTCCTTGACATTCCTGAGGTACCAACAATGGAGGTCAATTTGTCATGCTGCTACCAAGACTGTCCAAAAATTGTATAGCCTTCCCAAACCCAGTGATGCCAGCTTTGCCCAAAAGTGAGCTCACTTCTGAAACCGATAACACAAGAGCAACTTATTAGTCTACTCAACAACTTATCTGTAACATTTGGAACATTTATATCAGAACCAAAGATTGCATTCTATATTATTATGCGGTAAGGACATTTTGCATTTCTAAGAAAAGACAGTGATAACAGTATGAAATTGTAGTTGGTAGGTCAAATTCAAATTGTTTCGCAATGTTTTATACAATAAGGAGGTGGGGGAGGCTTGAACATGCAGTTTCAGACGTTCACAAAACCCCACGTACATTTGCTTTGATTTCCTAACTATAGTTTAGAGGCAAATATTAATCATCATTTTCAAGAACAATAAATACCAGATGTTTTCTGAGCAACTGAGTTTGTTTTTCTTTTAGAAGAAACATATTTTATTCAAAGCAAAAGCTATGTACAGAAACATGGACGAGACATAAACAAGCCATAAAACAGGGATGAACTAACCCTTTGATCTGCTTTTATAAATTTAAATAGAGTCAAGAGAAACTTAATAGGCCTCTTGTCATTCATTACTCTGCCCTCTTCATATTGAAATTTCAAGTTTGTTTTCAGTAGGAAGCTAATAAAGCACTCTGAATCTTTATACTCAAAACCTAGCACACTGTGCTGGTTTCTAAAGATGCATCCAATTTAATTATTCATCTGAAAGCAATGACAAATGGTAAGACTTTGATTTCTGATTGGACTTTGCATCACCAGCTTCCTTCCACATATGAAAGATTACAGAGCTCTCCTAGGGAAAGGGTCACAAGCATAATGAATAAGGAGGCTTATTTGGTGAAACCAGCTCATTAACTTCCCTACCATTGCAATGACCAAAAAATTACAAAGTCCAAAGTAAATCTACATTCAACTCCGATTAAGAATATGCATGTAACTTTCAGGATTGCTAAAGTGATATCATCACCATAATGGCTCCAAATTTCAGGCACTGGGGTTGTCCTAGTACAATGGCCCATGGTTCTAAATTCGGAAGAAAACAAATAACCACAAGAAAAGTGCATTCGTTTTAGGCTTATTTACTGTAGCACCCTCTGAAACTTCTGTCAAACCTCACTTAACCCCCCCAAAGTTAAAATGGGTCACTTTACCCCCTTGACCATGGTTTTGTGTTCCACTTCTCTCCCCCCCCACCATTAACGTCATCCAAAAAATCGTAAAAAAAGCTAACATGGGAGGGGCATTATGGTAAAAGCACCCAAGTGGCATATTGGACCCCACAGGCGTTGAAAATCGTATTCTAAGCGGCTGAGTTCGTAAAGTCTGGCCAAAGACCCCCTTCTTAGCCGATATAATTTGGGGAGATTAGGGTTTGGACTGTATCAAAGAGAGAGATTTGAACATTTGAGCATAACCGAAAATTGCAGAAGAGTGAAATCAGAAGAATCAAATATGGGCATTGCACAAATATTGGACAGATTGGACAATGATGGTGCCGAGAGAGAAAGGAGGTTCTCAACTTGAGTACAGTAAGTGGCCCTTTGCTTTTGCTTTTGAAATGAAATCGACGAAAGCGATAGATTTATAAAGTGTGGTCCATGTTTAAACTTCTTTATTATCTGCTTGCTTTGTTGGGTCGGGTCCAAAGGTGTTGAGTTTGATTAGCCTCGAATAAAAAATTGTTGTGGTCCCTTATGTGTAGCTGTTATGTTTTCTTGTTTACTAGTTGTTTAAAGGTCGTTTTAGTGCTTTACTAGTTCTTTTCTGTTTACTAGTTCTTGTTTGCTAGTTGTTTAAGGGTCGTTTTAGTGTTTAGTAATAGTTTGGTGGTTGTGTTGCTATACATATGACTAGGCAATGGTTGAAGTGTGTGTTTTTATGTTCTGTTGTGCAGATGACAAAGGAATAGTCACCTTTGAAGTACACCATGAAGGTAGAATGGTAAAATCCCCAAACCTCAATGAGTGGGTGGTGGTTTTATGTGTGTGTGTGGGGGGGGGGGGGGGGGGGGGTTGGGTCTGTTGATTATTTGGACTGGTGTCTTTTGGACTACATAAATTTGTTAGAGATATATGCTTATGCAAAAGAGCTTGGGCATCATGATCAAGTGGTTGTGACAAGGATACAAAATGGTAAAAAAAGTGTGTATAGATAGTGATGCTCAACTACTTGTTTGGTGTAATTTGGTGCCTCCTAGCTTTCAAGAGTGATTGTCATTTACTTGGAACACCCCATTGTTATTAGTGTGGATGAATCTGCAGTGACTTGGAGTGAGAGAGGTCCTATCGCAAGAAACCTAACTGCTGAATTTGAACAATATGGTTATGGGGGTATGTATGAGGAGGATGAAGAGGATGAGGAGGATGGCATTGTTGTTGATGAGGAGGATGAGGTTGATGAGGAGGATGAGGGTGATGAAGGTATTGTTCCTGAGCCTATACATGTGGAGGAAACTGGTGATGAAGGCACTATTCCTAATGGTACAAATGTGGCTGAGGATAGGCATGAAGGAACTGTTCCTGAGGGTATAAATGTGGATGAGGAAGATGATGAAGGTACTGTTCCGGATGGTATAAATGTGGAGGATGAGACTATATATGAAGAGGGAGAGAATGACAAAAGGGCTGAAAATGATAGTGAAGATAGTGAAGACCCTGAATTTTATGATAGTGCTTATGACCAAAGTGAAGATTAACAATGCTTGTTGGAGAAGGATGATAGAGCATTTGACAACTATGTTGACCACAATGCTCCAGATATTGATCCAATTGCAGATGAAGGAGAGAAATCAGATGATATGGCTATAAGTGATGTTAATAGCTTGGATAGTAGCTCATGTGATGAGGTTGAATTGCCTATGAGAAAAAAGGAAGAGGAAACTGCACAAGTTTGAAGATTTTAGGACTGAAACAGATTTGAATAACCCAATCTTTAAGCTTGGTCTAAGATTTCTCAGTGTCTATGTTTTTAGGAAAGCAGTGAGAAACTACTCAGTGTTCAACAGAAGGAAGATTAAGTTCTCCAAGAATGATAAAGATAAAGTTAGAGCAGTTTGTGATGGGATCAAGAATGGAAAATGTCCATGGTTTGTTTATGCTTCAGCTGTAAATGGATGTAGCATTGTTCAAATTAAGAGTTATGAAAAAGCAGAGAGATATGCTACACAGCTGTCTAGAATAATAAATTGGGATGTATGAGCTTTTAAGGAAAGGGTGAATGAAGATCTATGTGTCATAGCTTCAAGATCACAGTTCTATGGAGCAAGGCAAAAGGCAATTGCTGTAAGTGAGGGACTTACACAAAACAGTTTGAGACTCTTTCGGATTATGTTGAGGAGTTAAAAAAGACAAATGTGGGAACTAATGTAAAGATTAAGTCTAATTTGGAGGGTGACAAATCTAGATTTGAAAGGATTTATATATGCTTGGCAGCTAAAAAGTAAGGATTTATTGATGCTTTGAGGCCAGTTGTTGGTTTGGATGCTTGTCACATCAAAGGACAACACCCTGGCCAATTACTATCTGTTGTTGGTGTTGATCCTAGCAATGGCATGTATCCAATAGCTTATGCAGTCGCAGAGGCTGAGAATTATGCAACTTGGACTTGGTTTTTGGAACTCTTAACTGTTGATCTTGGCATTGAAAACAGCAATGACTATGTGCTCATTACAGATAGACAAATGGCTTAATTGATGGAGTGGGTGACATGTTTCCAAACTCTAAGCATAGGCATTGCCTTAAACATATGCATGCCAATTTTATACTTGCTGGCCATAGAGGATTAGTTATGCAACAACATATGGAGGTTGTTGCAAGAAGTACAACTATACCTTGGTTTCAAGCAGAGATGAAAAAGCTCCAAGATTTGTCAGGATCAGCTTTTGATTGGTTGTCAAGGCTTGATCCAATGCAGTGGTGTAGATCTCACTTCAGAACACATTTAAAATGTGACATTCTCTTGAATAACATGTGTGAGGCATTCAACAAGTCTATCCTTGATGCTAGAGACAAGCCTATCATAACATTGCTTGAGAGGATCAGGTATTACATCATGTTTTTTATGGCAACTAGAAGAGAAGCTATAGAGAAATGGGCTCATGATGTGGCGCCAAGAGTTTTTGCAACTCTTGAGAAGCTTAAGAAGCAGTTAGCCTGGTGCATTCCAAGGCTTGCAGGGGAGAGCAAATATGAAGTTAAGTGTTTTGGAGGCACTCAGGTGGTAGTTGATTTGAGAAACAGAAGTTGTTCATGTAGGCAATGGGATCTAACTGGGATCCCATGTAAGCATGCTTGTGCTTCCATTGGGCAATTAAATGGCAATCCTTAAGAAGCAATCAGCCTGGTGCATTCCAAGGCTTGCAAGGGAGAGCAAATATGAGGTTAAGTGTTTTTGAGGAACTCAAGTGGTAATTGATTTGAGAAACAGAAATTGTTCATGTAGGCAATGGGATCTAACTAGGATCCCATGTAAGCATGCTTGCGCTTCCATTGGGCAATTAAATGGCAATCCTTAAGAAGCAATCAGCCTGGTGCATTTCAAGGCTTGCAAGGGAAAGCAAATATGAGGTTAAGTGTTTTGGAGGCACTCAGGTGGTAGTTGATTTGAGAAACAGAAGTTGTTCATGTAGGCAATGGGATCTAATTGGGATCCCATGTAAGCATGCTTGTGCTTCCATTGGGCAATTAAATGGCAATCCTTAAGAAGCAATCAGCCTGGTGCATTCCAAGGCTTGCAAGGGAGAGCAAATATGAGGTTAAGTGTTTTTTAGGCACTCAAGTGGTAGTTGATTTGAGAAACATAAATTGTTCATGTAGGCAATGGGATCTAACTAGGATCTCATGTAAGCATGGTTGTGCTTCCATTGGGAAATTAAATGGCAATCCTTAAGAAGCAATCAGCCTGGTGCACTTCAAGGCTTGCAAGGGAAAGCAAATATGAGGTTAAGTGTTTTGGAGCACTCAGGTGGTAGTTGATTTGAGAAACAGAAGTTGTTCATGTAGGCAATGGGATCTAACTGGGATCACATCAGCTATGTCCATGATTATTACAAAAATGAGGCCTTCATGAAAGGTTACAAACCCATGGTTCATCCAATGGCAAGTCAAGACTTGTGGGCTAACACAAATTTGCCACCTTCGTTGCCACCTAAGTTTCATAAGCAGCCAGGGAGGCCAAAGAAAACCAGGATAAGCTCAACCGGTGAACCATCTCCAAGCTCTAATCCTAAAGCTATACACTTTTCAAGGTAAAATTTGGAAATCAAGTGTTCCATATGTAAGCAACCATACCATAATAAGAGGAAATGTCCAAGGGTATATGAAGTAGGGAGTAGCAGCCAGGTATATTCAAAGCATGTGATTTTAAAAATTCTGTATGTTTGGCATTCTGATATGGATTTCCCAGTGATGTTTGTTCGACAAGTACCATCACAAAGGCAAAAGAAGACAGCACATCAAGCCAACACATCCACTCAGAGAATTACAAGATAATTAAGGCAAAAACAACCAATAAGTTGGGTTTTTTTTATTTAAGTAACAGTTTGAGACTCTTCATTTGTAGATATTAATCCAACAGCAGGCATTTAATATAACTCTTCCATAATTTTCAGATCATATCAAAGGCTACAAAAAGGGCCAATCAACACCAAGCTTCTTCTAAGTCTAGCCAAGCTCCTCAACCATCTCACCAACCAGCTCAACCATCTCAAGCTTCTTCTCAGTCTAACCAAACTCCTCAACCATCTCACCAAGCAGCTCAACCAACTCAAGCATCTCAATTTGAACAACCATCTCAAGAATCTCAGTTTGAACAGTCCTCTGAAGCTTCTCAATTTGAACAAGCATCTCAAGCTGTCAGTTTGAACAAGCCTCTCAAGCTCCTCAGTTTGAACAAGCCTCTGAAGCTGCTTTGTTTGAACAAGTCTCCCAATCTCAAGCACCAATTCGTCTCAGCATTTACAAGCTTCCTCACAAAGGAAAGTTAAGTTTAAGTCTCCAGCTAAGTTTAAGCCATGGGGATATTGAAAATCTCTCCTATGTTTTTGTTGTTTCTTGGGGAACACATGTGTTTTTGGGTAAAAACAGTCTATTTGATATTTGATTGTCTACTTTATTTTTTGGTACAAGATTGTACAGCATTGCCATGAATGGTGCATATTCAGTGAACAGGTGCATATGAGATCCTTTGTCTTTTGTTTTGGCATTACCATGGTTTAAACATGTGCTTAGAAAGTCTTTTGAGTTATGGTTTAAACTGTACAATTTATGTACAACACTATATACAGTTTATGTAAAGTTATGAATCAATGGTAGTTGTAAAGCTCTTAAAAGTTTCAACAATTAATGTTGCTTACATAAGTCTTTAGTCTTAACCGTTACAAAAGGGCTTTGAAACCATTACATTGGAAAAATGCTAGAGCCATTGCATAAAGACTCTCATCTCCCTAAATTGCCATTCAACTAGGTCCATTACACAACATTGCCTAAATTACATTACACAACACTACCAAACCAAATCATAAACACAAAGGCCCAAGAAATAAATAGAGCAATCCACAACTTCTTCTCTCTTGGTCTCGCACACCCAATCTAATCTTCAACTTCTCTCTTTGTCCTCAGTAGCTTAGCCATCAAGACTCTCTCACGGGGAGGCATTTCAATATCAACCCATACAAAAAACCCACAACTTTTTTTCCCCCTCTGCATTCAAACAACAATTCCATCACATTCTCACAAATTTTTTTTCTTCTAATTTTTTATAAAATAGCAAATACAAAACCTACCTCTGACTTTGGACACACAAAGAACCTCTGAAGTGGGTTGGACTCTATCCAAGAAGTCTGCAACTGAGCAAGCCTCCCACAATAGCAATCAGGTGTAGCAACGGCCACCTCTTCTCCTCGTGGAGGTTCTTTCCTCATCTTCACACCTTTTAATCGAACAAATATGGAGAGATTTTTCTCTAGAGAACCTTAAATCCTTCAAATGGTGCTAAATAATTGTTCTGAGTTTAGAAACCCTATTACCGAAGAAGAAGAGAGAGGATTCTCATCGTCAGCCGCTTAAATTAGGATTTTCAAAGCCTGTGGGGTCCAATATGCCACGTAGTCCGCTGACTAAGGTCAGCAATATTGGCCCACGTGGGTGCTTTTACCATAATGCCCCTGCCACGTCAACTTTTTTAACGGTCTTTTGGATGGCATTAACAGTTTTTGGGGGGGGGGGGGGGGGGGGGGGGGGGAACACAAAACCACGGTCAATGGGGTAAAGTGGGTCATTTTAACTTTGGGGTGGTTAAGTGAGATTTGACTGAAGTTTCAGGGGGTATTACAGTAAATAAGCCTTCATTTTACTTCTTGACACATTATTTAGATATATAAGAGAGTAACAATTAATCCCAACACACCATAAGTGAAAAAAGGTCGAGCATTGTATCAAGGTTTGATTTTAATATGAATGGGGGTACGCCTAGGTGGAGAGTATTAAGTTTTGAGATGTTTCAATTTTATCTTGGTATTTATGGGCGAAGGTTTTAATATATGTTTTCCTACTTAAGAGACAAGGATTAAGAGTTTTTCTAAGTTTTGAGGATTTTGTATAATTCACAATTATTTTCTTAAGTGAAGTTTTATTTTACCATGTCGTTATTTGATTTTATATACCCGTTCTTTTCTCCTTGTGTTTCTTTTCCAATTAAAAAGTTATTCTCCTCTCATTATGTTCTTTTCCTTTTCAATTTCTTTTCACATTTGATTTTGCAAAACAAGAGGTAAACATAAAAGTTGAATATGTAAATTGTCAACAAAACAAAGAGGAAGAACTATGTATGACTTGATCCCTTAGTAAGGGTACATAGGCAACCTAGAGTTACTAGGTACAGCCGCAAGATCAAGTGATTGAAAAGTTGTTCACTTAAGTTATTTTGAAATTTGATAACGTATTCATGTTGTTCTAAAAGTTGAGATCAATTTTAGATGGTAGAACGACTTATTTGGCATAAAGAGGCATGAGGCCATAAAGATTTGATGTTTGGTTGCATGAATTCTCTTATTGTGCATGTTGAACGGTTGTGGAAATTTTTAATTTGCTTGTTGTATAGGTGGAAAAGTTTGGGGAATGAGCAATTTACAGGGGAAACTCTGCCAAATTTTTGGCAGAAGTCAATTGTTTTAAGAAATTTCGAATCTTATTTAGAAGGTCAATTTGGTCAAGTGTGCTCGGCACCTGCCAGGTGTCAGACACGCACAGGATTCAGCGCAGATTCCAAAGTGGAATTTGGGTCGGGTCCTGTCACTAATGTTCGAGTTGTTTCAAGGCTCAATAGAATGAATGAAGTGTCTGGAGTAAACATTTGAAAGAATTGTTGAAGAAGTTGGTATCAATTTGGAGCCAGTAATACAGGCCGAGGTGAAGTGCTCAATTGAAGGACTTGCTATCACTTTGCGGCCAATAATATAGACCGAGGTCTAGCGCTCAGTGTTGTAACTCACTAGAAGGTAATGAGTGAAGTGAGCTCCTTCATGAAAGACGCCAGACAATATCTTTTTCCGAGACGTAGAGATGTAAATGAAACTAAAGAGGACAGGGCACTGAAAAAATCCAATGAAGGTGGTGAGAAAGGTGCAGTTGATGAGAAAAATCCTTCAACACCATTACCGGATGGACAAAGTTTCATTCAGCCTAAGGTATGATGAGCGATTAGGAGTTTGAAGATCGAGTTTCTTGTTATTGTTTACATTTATTAAGTTTGCATTTATTTGGATAGTTTTAATATACTTAAAGATTGTTTTTTCCTATATGTAATATTTGAATTCCCTTTTTCACACAGCTGAAAGTTGGTGAAAATACCTGTAGAATGACTAAAAATGCCTAGAGAAAGGTGAATAGGCCAATTTAAGATTATAATCAAATAAATAAAAATAAACTTCGGTAGCAGGATTGATATGGTTTATCAATCCTGAAACATGCTGAGCATAAAATAAACGAACATGCAGAGAATTATTTTATGTGGTAAAATCCCACCTCTGGGGAAAATTCACGGGACTCCTCAGTCCAACACAAATCCACTATAGAACGATGATTACAAGAAGTACTCACATACGTATCCTAGACACATTCTAGATAATGTTTACCAACTTCTTCGTAACTCAACTTCTGTCACGGGATGATCTTCGACATTTCTTATGTTGAATGCAATACTGGTCACGATTGCTTCAAGCTCGTCGGAGTTCTTCCAACTCTCCTTATGCTGAATCTGATACTGGTCACGATCGATTCAAGCTCACCGGAGAAAAATTGCCACAACGATCTTGGTGTCCTCAACCGTATGAGTCACCGACATGCATATGAATGATTAAAGTGTTTGATAAATCACCAAGTAAACATGGAACACTTGATGATTTATCTCAAATAAATGCACAGCAGCTTTTTCCTAAGAATTCTATATGCTCCACACAAATATGTCAAAAGCTATGATTGTCAAAAGAGAGGCACACCTCTTTTATGCAAAACCGTGTTCTCTCTAGTAAGAGAGAAGCACAAGAGTCCAATCCTGTTCAATCATCACAATCAAATTTTGTCCAAATATGGACTCTCAGTAAAATATCCAAAAACATGAACACATATCCTATTGAAATATGCCTATCAAATGTAATCCAATAAGGACTCTTGGTGAAGGACGTCAAAACATGGAGACCAAATAATGTTCAATTATGGATATATGTTTTGATTCTATCACTTACGCCAGCTTTATGCATGGTATCCCAAATACCATCCAATATCATCTTTTTATAAAAGGAACTAATATACAGCAAGATGAAAGCAATGAAACAACTAGGAAGTGCTTGCCAAGTTTTAGATAAAATATATTTTAACTTTAAAACAAAATAGATTCCAACTAGGAAGGTAATCTCAAGAGATAAAATCTAATCCTATTAAAAATAAGATTAACATAAAAATACTTGAGTGAAAAAACTCCAACTAGGAATCCTATAATGAATGCATGATTATGTCATGATTTACCTTAAGTCAAGTTTCTCATATCAGTCAAGTCGTGCCTCGGATGTATGGGGTTGAATGAGTTGTGCCAAACATCCAATAACAATTCTTCACACACTAATTTTCTACCTATCCTAGAGTCTAGGAAATGACAACACTATTTTCATATTAACAGTTGGTGATCGAAGTGGAATAAAAACACATCGTACGGCCGAAAAGAGTCCAGGGCATCATTGTAAAGAGCCATGGGTTGACACATCAAATGTAAAAGGAAAGGTGGTGCAGAAGATGGAGTCTAAGATTAAAATTGGGCCATTAAAATTAAAACCCGGGGACTTACAAGATTCAAATTTGGAGTTATTCAGTTATATTTTTTGATCTAACGACATTTCAAGGTAACTACTTATAACTCTTGAATTAAGTAATTGACCAAATTCCTTCTATGTTGTCGTGTATGCGAATTTTTAATTATAAAAATTGTTTTATTCTTCAGTTGTAGTGACGAAGTTATAATTGAAATTTAAAATAGACATCATGTAACCCGAGGTGAGTTGATGTGCTTGAGGCCCGAAAAGTGGATTAATGGCGGAGTGATGAACGCACAAGTGTGTTATCTACAAGAAAATGGATCAAGAAATTTGTACTTCCCAACATATATATCGGTACGCGTTCATATTTTTAAAAGTGTTATAAGTTGTTATTTAGTAAATGAATTTAAACTTAAACTATATATCAATGTAGGATCAAGTTAATGATACAAGTGATGATAAACTTTTTCAACTAGGTGTCAAACTAAGAAGGGGAAACTCAAAGCAATTCACCGTAGGCCTTAAGAAGTACGATAAGGTATCAATTTCAGTTGTTTTTGGCAACATCTTTTGCTAGGTTTTTTATACGCATGTCTTTCTAAGCAAGTCATTGTGCTCCAAGATTTTCATCCCCGCTTTGGATCGAATTGGGAGACATTGGTTTTTTCTATTGGTGCTTGTTGGTGATCAAAATGTTGAAATATGTCATAGCCTCCCCAGTCCTAAATTCAACGCATCTCATTATAAACAAGCGGAACGAGTTGTATTTTTATTCTCCTAACATCCCCACTAAGAATTTATTTGAATTGATTGTTTTGTAGATGAAAACTCTTGATCACATTTACATTGATGAGATTGTCACCGATTTTGAAAAGGGATGGGAGTTTGCAAAATTCAACATTGTACAAAGTGACAAGGCCCACAAAAAACCAAATGGATGGGACTATGGTATCTTCGTTTTGAATTGGGTAGAAGACATTGAATGCACATCACACGGTTCAAACAAAGTGAGTCAGCATACATATCGTTTCATAGTTTTGTCTTCCATGTCACATATTTTTGTTCATCATTTGTTTCATGGGTTATTTTTTATTTGCAGTTCAGAGTTGTCGATGAAGAACTCAACAACTTGGCCCAACATGGTCCTTTCATCCCTCATCATCCCATCACAAAGAAGCCAATGACATGCTCCCAGACAAAGTAGAAAGTTTGACAATAGGGCACAGGGGATGACAGTTTAGGAATTAGGTGTAATTGCATGTACGTATCCCTATTTGCCACAGTCGGGGTTCTTTGGTAGTATAGCACGTGGAATTGCATTACATTAGGCTCAATTGCACGTCATGTAATTGAATTCCTTTATTTGGTTACAAATGGTTTTTTTGTTTTGTTGATGACATTGAAAAATTTGACCCTTTCAAATGCCCAAACATTGAAAGGGAATTACTGTATGTAGGAATTAGTGTAACTGCATGCACATAGGGTTTATGGTTTAGGTAGTCCAATTGCATGTACTTTTCCCTTTTTGCATGCAGGGACGTTGCTTTGCAATATATGATGTATAATTGCATGACATGACGGCGAATTGCACGTTCTATTACAAATTCCATTGATTGTGCACATGGGCTTTTTTGTTGCTACAATGGGAACATTATAGCATTTCCAAGGCCCACACATCATTTACGACACAGGAGTTCCTAAGGCATTCATAATAAAGGACCCCTAACCATATTTCAGGGTTAGAAATTACAAAACTAAACCCTACAACTAATCTAACATACCGAATGAAAATACAATAACTTATAACATATGATATTAGGGCCGAAATTATAACATCTGAAATTACATCCGAAATTATAACAAAGAACACAATGCAAATGTTAAAATACCGGTGGTTCACGGAGCTCGCTTCTCCAATATATCAATTACTTCGTACACCTCGATATTGTCCCACATAGTTGACCCAGCATCAACAAGCTGAGCATATTTCCTAAACATCTCAAAGCCGATCTCAATCCCGCCATTGTAAATGTTGTACTTGGTCACTGAATCTCCTTCACGAAAGATGTTGTAACTAGCCTCGGTCGGAGGCTTAATGACATCATCGGTTCATTTCACTTGTTGGCGCTAGGGGTGGGCATCAATCTAGCCGAACCAAACCTTATTTTCCGGTTTGGTTTGGTTTTGACTTTAAAAAAGTCAACAGTTTTAAAATCCGAACCAAACCAGAGTAGTTTGGTTCAGTTGCAGTTTTAAGCTTTGAAAAACCGTGCTCATCCGAACCGAACCGTTTAAATATTAATTAATTATATATATTAGTTTACATGTGTCAATGGTTGAGTGGCTAATTAGATGTCTTAGTGTATACCCAGCCGCATTGAATTGGACTCAAAACAACTTACAACTCTCTCACATCTTATCTCATCTTCGTTGAATATGCAGCCCCATCTCAACTCTTCTTCCTCACTCAACCCACTTGAACCCTAGAGAAGCCACCATTGATTTGAACCACTACAACCTCCACTGCTTCAATCAAACCCATTCTCACATCGCAGAAACCTCGTCGGCGTCGCATCTCTATCATCAGCATCGTACCTCCATCGTAGGCGTCGCACCTCCATCCTCGGCATTGCACCTCCATCGTCAACGTCACACCTCCATTGATTCAAACGTGCTCCTCTCATATCTTATTCGAACTCTCAAGCAAAGTTCTTGCAAGGAAGCATCTGATTCGAACCTGTGCTGTGGTTGGAAGTAAGCATCTGTCTGATTAAGGAACCTGTGTTGTGTTGTGGTTGCAAGGAAGCATCTGTCTGTCTGATTAATTATTTGCAAGGAACCTGTGTTGTGCTCCTCTCAGACTAGTCGGCTTCGGCATCTCTGGAAACCCATCTATCTTCGTCATTGCCGAAGTTCATATCTCAAACCAAGCCTGATGGATGAAGATAACTCAGTGCCAATGATGGTGAGTTCTTCTAATTTATCTAATTTCTTTGCGGCTTATGCTCAACTAATTTCTATGTTTAGATAACTAGTTTTGCCAATCTGGTTATACGTGGTTTTATTTGTTTGAAATGTTTTGTTCTTGGTAAAGATTACTATTAAAACAGACTCATTCCTTAGCTTTGTCAGTCTGATTATACGTGTTGTGCAAACCTTTTTCTTTTCACTTTTCACATTGTGAATCACAATATGAACTGAAAAACAAGATGATCAAATAGTTATTGATGTGTAAGACATGTGCTTCGTTTGGGGTTTAATTTAGTTTTAGTTGGCTTGATTAGATTGGTTATAAGATGCTTCATGCAAGATTCTGTTTTAGCTTTTAGTTCTGTACTTTGGCAATGTGAATGAAAATGGACATAAGGTATAAAAAAAACCTAGGCTGATAACCTTTTTTTTTTTACTTTTTTGGATAATGGTGTGTGATAATTGTTGGGTTTTCTTTTCCTTATTTTTTTGTGTTTGGGATTTTTTTTAATTTCTCATTTTTGTTCTTTTTTAATTTCCAAGTGTTTGGACTTACTGCAGAATAAATTCACTCGTAAGTTTTATTACATTTGGGCTTCGCTAGCTCGTATTGTATGGTGTTTGTTTGTTCACGATAATAATGTCATGAAATTTATTAAAGGTTTAGGATTTAAGGTAAAAGTGCAATTTTTCTAATTAAGGTGCAATATGTCTGATTAAGGAAAATTTATTTAATGTGCAATTTTTCTAATTAAGGTGCAATTTATTTAATGTGCAATTTGTCTAATTATATAGATGGAGGTAAACCAGGGGGTGGAAGAAGGTTTTGCTTCTAATCAGATCATCACCTATGACTGAATCTACACCAGCAATTGTGACCTCTGAAGCTCAAACTAGTGCATTTAATCAACTTCCACCATTATCTTCCCAAAAAAAAAGAAAACTGACTAGGAAACCAAGTGAGGTATGGAATCACTTTGAACAATATCAAACTGGTAATCCTTTTGAACCTATTAGGGTAAGATGCAAGTATTTCAAAACTGCTGACTATAAATATGATCCAGCAACATGTGGGACATCAAGTTTGAGAACTAATATTACTAATTTATGAAAAAAAAATACCCATATAGGGTGCCTGGTTCAAACCAAAAGGTCCTAACTTTTGCCAAGGACCAATCTGGAAGTATTACCACTCTTGGGGCAACGGGATTTAATAAGGAAGAATCTAGGAAATCATAGGATGGATTTATTGATGAGTTGCCATTTAGTTTCGTAGATGGAGAAGGGTTTCATCACTTTTGTAGTGTTGCATGCCCTAGATTTATACTGCCATCTTGTAGACCACTTGCTAGAGATTTGCATGCACTTTACTATGATGAAAAGCAACTTTTGAAAGCAAAGTTAGCTGCATATAGAGTCTGCCTTGCTACTGACACATGGACTTCTGTCCAAAATATAAACTATATGGTTCTCACTGCACATTTCCTAGATGGTGATTGGATGTTGCATAAGCGTGTTGAATTTCTATGTAATTCAAAATCACAAGGGTAAGACAATTGGTAGACTTATTGAGAAGTGTTTGATTGATTGGGGGTATAGAGAGGGTACTCCCAATTACCCTAGATAATGTATCTGCAAATGATAAAGTTGTATCTTATTTGCAAAGTAAGATGAAAGATTGGCCGAATGGAGGTTTGTTGTTAGATGGTGTCCACTTACATATGAGATGTTGTGCTCATATTGTAAATTTCATTGTAACCGATGGTTTGAAAGAGTTACATAATTCTGTTAAGAGTATTCGTGATGCTATCATGTATCCTAAAATTCCTTATTTTGATCATCTTGTATCCTAAAATTTGTGTTGATTGAAACTACTTTTATGTGCAATATGGGGACATGCTCGAAACTAGGCAGCCTTTAATTAAATGAAAATTATGAACTTGTATTTTGGGCAGCCTTTCATTTCTTAGTTTTATCATCTTGTATTCATTTCTTATGAACTTTAGAATGTTTTGATGGAAATTGTGAACTTAGATGCATGCTGGAAATTTGACACCTTTTGATTAAATGGAATGTTGTTGTGTTAGCCTTTGATGGAATGGAATGATATAATAGCAAAATGTTAGCATTATAATTTCTAATGTAAGAGAAGGTTGAAAAATCCATGGTTTTGTGTTAGGCACAAACCGGCCGAACCAATCTGAACCAAACCGATTACAAGTGGTTTGGATTGGTTCGATTTTCATTACGATTTTAGGCTAATCCGAACCAAACCAGACCGTTATTTTCTTATTGGTTCAGCTGTGGTTTGAGACTAAAACCGAACCAATCCGAACTGTGCCCACCCCTAGTTGGCGCACATAATTTGAAGGTCAACATCATCATCACCCACCCTCTTGTTCTTGGGCATTGAAGAGCCTCTTGAGCTACTAACCATTGAATGTGACATATTGTTTAGGTTTTGTTTTTCCTCTTTCAGATTGCATGCAAGAGGTAAAGTGTAAGCATGAGCAATGTTACTTCTTAAAAGCTGAAATTTAGTGCGTTGAAATGGAATGTGTATTGTAGAAAGTAATTCAACTTTACTATTTTTATAGTCCTTAGAATGTAGTTTGTAGTTGCTACTTGGCAGTGGGTTCCTTCTCCGAGCGAACGTCCAACTTTATTGAACGAACACACCCCCTACATTCGCGTGAACAAATAGACCGTTCGTTTGAAATAGTATGTTAATTGGGCCCATGTTTCCTAGGAACGGGCAACTTTACACAACGAACGCAACCCCTGCGTTTGCGTGAAAAACTACCCTGTTTGTTTGAAAAAGAAAGTTAGTTAGGCCCATTTTTCCGGAGAATAGGCAACTTTACCCAACGAACGCGGCAACTTTACCCAACGAATGCAACCCTTGTGGTCGCATGAAAAAGTACCCTGTTTGTTTGAAAAAGAAAGTTAGTTGGGCCCATTTTTTTGGGGAACGGGCAACTTTACTCAACGAACGCAACCCCTACGTTCGCGTAAACAAAAAAGTAAGTTAGTTGGGTTCCTTTTTCAGGGGAACGGTGAACTTTACTCAACGAACGCAACCCCTACATTCGCATGAACAAATACCCTATTTGTTTGAAAAAGTAAGTTAGTTGGGTTCCTTTTTCCAGGAAACGAGCAACTTTACTCAATGAACGCAACACCTGTGTTCGTGTGAACAAATACCCCATTTGTTTGGAAAACAAAGTTGGTTGGGCCCATATTTCCAGGGAACGGGAAACTTTACTCAACGAACGCAACCCATGTGTTCACGTGAACAAATACACCATATGTTTCAAAAAGTAAGTTTGTTGGACCCATTTTTCTAGGGAACGAGTAACTTTACTCAACGAATGCAACCCCTGCGTTCGCATGAACAAATACCCTGTTTGTTTCAAAAAATAAGTTGGTTGGGTCCATTTTTATGGGGAACGGGCAACTTTACCCAACGAACGCAACCCCTTGTGACAGGACCCGCCCCGGAATTTCCCCCGAAACCCGGGCGGACCCCGTCTTGGTGCCGACATCTCCCCGATGCCGGGCCCACTTACTAAAACCCGAGACATCCTACCAAAATTTTGGCAGTCTCCCCTGCAAAATGCTCAAACCCAACAACATTCAACTTGCATAATTTACATAATATAAATCCCAACTGCCAGCATGCTTTCAACATACAACAATCCAAACTAATGGCCTCCGGCCTCAAGTAACAACCTAACATGGGCGATAACAGAGCATCTAACAGAATTAATTTACAACAAACAGTTGAGTAGAAGGAATTTACACAAGTCCTAACTACAGATGGAACGATTTGAGCTCGTACTCTGCTTGAACGCTTCCAAGAGCAACTACTGCCTGGGGGGCGCAAAACAGAAATATGTGAGTGGACAAAAATAAAGTTTGCATTTAAAACAACATAATAACCCCACCGTGTAAAAATAATGCTCTAGCATGCAATTTCACAATTCATAAACCAAATACTCAAAACACATAATCTCAAATCCAATAAATCTCAAACTCTCAAACCACAACTCCATTCCAAAAGATATGCAACTCTTACCGACCCATACATACGTATATATATATATAACTATAATATAACATATACTTCTCTCCACACTAATGTACCGGGGAAACAATCCAACCGGGAGATTTTTGGCTGGTACGTAGGATTTCTAGGTACTAACCCGCGACCAGGGATGAGTAGTCCAACCGGGGTACGGAACTCCATAGCTCACACGCCGGCACTACTAACGACACGTGTAGCTCACATATCTCATAACAAGTCCTACACGCGCAGACGGTATCATCACCCCACCGCCACTGCCAACAACATGTGTGATGATACTAAGCAATATACATACTCTTCCTATATGACGGCACTGCCAACGACACGTATGAGAAGTGTCTCACACCCCGGCACTGCCAACAACACGTGTGAGACCCATAATCTCATGGCCTTCCCACCCCACCGGCACTGCCAACGACGTGTGTGGGAAGCCTAGTAACCAGGGAATGGTACTCACCTAAAATACTCATACATCTCTCAACCATCCCTCAAACTCATATCTTTCCACAATCTCACAACAACTCCTCATACTCTATACATAGGCAATATAGGCAGATATCCCAAAATCCATATAAACATATCCATAATACTCAAATATAGCCATACTAAAAATATATTGCCAATACGTATAAGAATATCCAAATCCATCAACCAAATACTTATTAAATCACATTTACCATTTAAAAACATATGCACAAATCTTTTATCAATAAAACCATGCGAATGCTTGAAAACAAAGTCCACTCACAGGTAATCCCAAGCTGCCCGGCCCCGAGAGGGTCCTGCCTGCTGTGTATGATCAACCGAAGTACCTATTTCGAGATACGAACTCTTGATTAATATAATGCACTTCGAAACGGAAAATCACAAAAGGAAATACTTAAATCCCCAAGTTCCCGGTGCGTGTACATCCAATGGGATATCCTAAGGTTCGATTATAGGTTTGGGAATCGCTTCCAATCGTACGTTTATCGCTAATCCCACAAACTTTGAATTATTGAATCGGAACATCCGGGGCTCCGATTCACAATCCGTGAATTCCTACGCACTCATAACAACCTAAGGATCTCATCGGGACAAAAAGAAACTTCACCTACGCACTCGTAACCACCTAAGGATCTCATCGGGACAAAAAGCAACTTCACCAGCCTTGCCCACGCGCCGCCACCGCGTGGGTGTGTAGAGAAATTTCCGGCGACGGAAAATCTCCAAATCACAAGCCACCCTTCCAATCCTAGATACTACTCGACAAATGGAGCATCTTTTTCAACTACGGCCAAGTCCAATTCGAACGGCAAGTGGCCGGAATTTCACAATGAAAACCGGTCAAAACCTAGCTCTTCAAATCGGTTCCTAAACAGCAAATTGATCTAAACCTACGCAACAGTCAGCTAGGCCAAGGAAAAAGAGAGAGAACCCTCACCAGTTTCACAAGAAATGGCAGCGGAGACGGCGGCGCAACCACGTGAGAAGTCCAATTTGAACCAGTCGCTATCGTTGCCGGATTTCAAGGTTTCCGATCGGGATTTTGGGTGGTTCAGGTTCGGAGCTTCACGACGAGTCGAACGGGACCGGGCTCGAGGGCTGAGGTGGCCGGAAGTGGCGGCTGGGTGGCGGTTTCCGTCTCGGTGAACAGTGACAGGGGGTGGTTTTTACGCAAAGGGGAAAATCGGCAGAGAGAGAGAGAGAGAGAGAGAGAGTGGAGTAAAAGTGAAAAATCCGATTTTTCACTCAAACTTAGTTTGAAATAATTACGGTAGCGCCACCGAACTTAATTTGCTTGCCAAAACTTCGTTACAACTCCGATTCAAGCCTATCGCAAGTCTACAGATTCGTCTCAGTACCACCTACGCAACCAAACCACTTGTGGTTCCAAAATCCTTCCGGATAAAACAATGACCAAAATTACCCTTAACCCAAGGCTAAATTCATAATTCACTTAATTTAATTAAAAAAGGAATTAAATTGGAGTCAAGATGTTACACCTTGCGTTCACATGAACAAGTAGCCTGTTTTTTTGAAAAAGTAAGTGAATTCGGGCCATTTTTCCGGGGAACGGGAAACTTTACTCAACGAACGTAACCCTACGTTTGCTTGAACAAATACCGCTTGCAGGCAACTAGGAGACATGAAAAGAGAGGGGCCATGTTCGAGTGAAGCCTTGGGTGGACGTGAAGGATTAATAAAACAAAAATCTTAATAATAAGAATAAATAAAACAAAAATTAATCAAGGTATACTTTTTCTCCCTTCTTCTTATATGTATGTATATCACGTGACGACCTAGTGTAGTTTTACTTTTAAGAAGCGGTTTTACACCTTAAACTTATGCAAAAGTTCTCTACACCAATCAAACTACCTCCTTTCATTTTTTATTTACTAGCATCTCTGACACGAGGATGTTAGTCTTATTTGAAGAGTTTGTGAATGGGCAAGAAAAGGTGAGAACCGCCATCCTTTTCTATATTCCATAAAACCCCTCTACTTCCCCAAGTAATTACACCAATGCCCTAAATATATATATACATTTTTTTTTATCAAATAGAAACTTCATTAGATAAACTTCAACAGTACAATCTAAGACATCAACAAGACATCTAACATACCAATCCCAAGATAGCAACAAACTAACATGCTAAAAACACAACTAACGCGAACAAAAACCGCACTAAAACTACTAGCCCACATCACCACAATTAACCATAAGCCTAAACAAAGCCCACAAACCCAACATAACCCTAAAACAACCCATGAGCCTAGACGAACCCTACCACCACCACCTGAAGAAGCGCCGTCGGGGCCACGCCCACCACCGCATCCGTAACAGATTTGGGAAAAATATGATTTCCAATTATCTACCTCTGTGAAAGACGATGTAAAATCAAATTTAAAGAACATAAGCAATGTTAGGGAGAGGGTTTTGGAAGCAGGATTTGATTGAGAACATAGACTAAAATGGGTGATGGGGAACTTCAATCTGACCATGGCTCAAAAGAAACCACCACAATGCGCTTTTTTTCAAAACTCCCCAGTGGACTTATTCACTAATCTAAAAGGAAAAGACGAGATGAGAGGAGGGGGAGGAGGGCAGTGACGCTTCTTCCTCCTTTAAATGAAATAAAAAAAACATATAAAATATATTTTAAAAATATTGCTATTGTTTAAAATGTTTAAAAATTATATATATTAAAATTAATTAATTAAAACTTAAAAAATGAAGAAGGATCCCCAGCAGCCCTTCCTTAAAAAAACAAAAAATACAAAAATATATAAACAAAACTACCCATCAATGTCTCACCTGCGACCTCAACCAACCCCAAAACCAAAATATTAAAATCCTTTCCCTCCTTCACTATCCCAAAATCCCAGCACATAACCAATCTCTATCACCTCAATCCCTTTCTCTCTCCCTACAGATTCAATCTTCCAAATAATGGAAACAAAACAAAAAGGCTTTGGGTTGTTGCAGCCTTAAAGATTTTGGGTTTTGGAGATCTTTTGAGCATAGGTCGTTTGTGTGCTAAGAAATACTAAAACTGAGAGGTCAAATCCTCCATTTTGTTATTCATCGTTGGCCACTCAGATGTTGACTCTCTCTCTCTCTCTCAAAACATCAGCCTCTCTTTCTTTTTTTTCTCTCATGGCTGAACCTCCTCAACCTTCATTTGGTTCTAGTATTATTCAAGCCCTAACTCCATTAAGGGTTTCAGATATCACTCTTTTCCGACGAACCGATGAGGAAGAGATTCTGTCCAAGAGGAATACCCTATTAACAGTGACCACATTTGTGGCTGCTTTAGTGTTTGCTTTGGGCATAAATCCACCGGCAGAATAATGCAAGTGCTTCAAAGAGAAACATAAAGTATGCAGCTGTAGGATAGCACTTCATGTGTGGGAGTAGATTTTGTCTGAAGCATTGGTGACATGTCTTTTGGTCATCAAATTTCTGGTGGGACATATTCGGTTAGACAATTTATCTATTTTCTCCTTCTTTGTCTTTTGATTGGATATTGGTGCATACTGACTACGTTCCTCCACTTAAATATATGGGTGATTATGCTATGCTTGTGTTGTGTTCCTGCTATTATGGCCTTGTTGTTAAGAAGATACATTGACCAAGCTGTTGAGGGAAATGGAGGGGTTGTTGGTGGTGGCATTGAAGCCGATGCGGGACATAATCTTGCCATTGAAGCAGGTACTAGAGGAGGCGTTGAAGCCGGTGCAGGACAGAATGTTACTATTGAAGCAGGTGCTGGAAGGGGCGTTGGAGCCAGTGCTGGAGGGCTTGCTGAACTTGTTGGAGATGAAGTCGTCGGAGTTGGATAGCCTACCGGTGTGATTGCTGGAGATGAAGCTGCACTTGAGTTGTGATTGTGGAGTAAGATGGGTTTATGGTTTATTAAGGCTAAGATATTTACAAAGAGTAATTTTACTGAGTGGTTAACTAGTGTGTGTTTTGTCTTTGTTTTTGTGCTATGAAATTTTACTTAGTGGTGATGCATATGTGCTTATTTTTGTTATTGTATACCAAATCAGATCCTCCAGATTTCTTAATGATGAATAGGTATCAAATGCCACTCGCAAGTTGTTTATAACTATTTAAAATCTATGTTTCTCCACATATTTTATTTTATATTTCTATTTATTTCGTTAAGCCAATTTATGTGATGTAGTGATATATTGATTTGGGTAAACTACAGTAAACCCCCCCAACCTATAGGGTCATTTATGAGTTCATATCCAATTTTGGGGACATTTACAAGTACATACTCAACGTCGTAGAAAACCTACAATTTTCCCCATTCGTTAGCCCAACTGTTAGTGAGTCTGTTAAATACTGACGTGTCAAAAGTGGGACCCATTTTTTTATGACGTGGACTTCCACGTGGATAAAAAAATAATAAAAATTTATTTACATGTTAAAAATAATTTCAAAATCATATTAAAATCATTAAAAATGAATTAAAAATTTAAAAAAAAATCTCATCTCATCTCTGCCCACCCCTTCCCAGACCCAACATTCTGCTCAAGCAAGCTCACAACAATGGCGGCAGCAACAACCCATCACCATTTCTTCTACCCTCATATTTGCAAACCCAGATTTGGAACCCAACTTAAAACATCAATTACAACAACCCATCACCATTTCATCTGCTAAATATAACACAATTCACATGAACCCAGCCTCGTCGCAACCCCAGCCACCCTACAATCCACGAACCCAGCGTCATTGCAACTCATGAACCCAGCCCCTCCGCAAACCCAACCACACCGCAATCCACGAGCCCTGGCCACCCCACAAACCCAGCCTCGCCCCCTGACAAACAAGCCTAACAACACATTTTCTCCCCCTCTATAGCAAAAATCAAACCCAGCAACACATTTTCTCCGAAAGCGAGACCCCAAAGTCTGTGATTCTATCACACTCTGCAAGATTCAACCTTTTCATGGTTTTTGAGGAAGACCCATTTGCCAAAAACCCCAATCCAAGATCTGTAATCAATGAACAATCTTGCAAACTCAAAACGCTAATTCAATTTGCATATGTTGAGAACAATGGATCGGGTTGGAGCAAAGGATGGGGGGCAGAGAAAGAGAATGTTTAAGAACAATCAACTGGGGGTAACAAATCTGGTGATTGGAATGCTCCAAAATCTTATGACAGAGACCAATCGTCAGGATGAGGTCAAACTAAAGCTTGGCAAAGTGATGGAAGAAATCAGGTTTTGTGGAAAATGATCAGATCTGTGGCATGGGGGAGGTGATGGGTTGGGCTGGAACAAGAGAGGTGTTAAGGCTGGGACAGGTGGCCTAAGTAAGCTTGGGTGGTGGTTTGGGTGGCTGGGGGCTAGGAGGAGAAGAGATTGGGAGAGAGAGAGAATCTGGGTAGGGTTTTTTTTTAATAAATTTAAATTTAATTTAATATGTTTAATTTTTTTAAATAATTTAAAAAAATAAATTTTTTTATTAATTTTTGGTCCACGTCATCAAAAATGGGGTCCCACTTTTAACACGCCAGCATTTAACAGACTCACTAACGGTTTGATTAACGGAGGGGGCAAATTGTAGGTTTTCCGCGACGTTGAGTATGTACTGGTAAATGTCCCCAAAATCATGTATGAACTCGTAAATGACCCTATAGGTTGGGGGGTTTGCTATAGTTTACCCTATTGATTTATTTTTCATCTAATGATGTATGGATTTAATGCTGCGATAACTTATTAGCATGCGAAATACTTGAAAGCCAGTGTTTTCTTTCACCCTTTTGAACTGCAAAGTTTTCAATGTGGCTGGGTTTATCCAGATGGACTACTGGGAGGCTAATAGCAACCCAAGATTGTGAAACCTCTTATTCCTCCTATCAAATGGCAAGCTCCCCTTCCTGGATGGTGTAAGATCAACTTTGATGGCTCTATTAAGCAGCATCAAGCTACAATTGACTTTGTAATTAGAGATTATGATGTGTATGTTAGTATGTTACTTTGGTTAGAGCTAAGAAGATTGATGATGTCTCTATTACATTTGCAGAATGTTTAGCTCTTAGAGATGGGTTGGCTTATGCTATTTCTATGGGTTGGCGGAAGATTTGAAGGGGATTCTAAGCTTGTCATTGACTCAGTCCTGCAACGCTGCTCCATCCCTTGGTGCATTGTTCAACTTGTCCAAGACATTATGCCCCTTGCAACTAGTTGTTGATGCGAAGCCAATGCGGGTGTTGATGCCTTAGCTTCACTTAGGCATTCCCTCTCACCTTCGAAGCTATGGGAAGATTGTCTTCCCCTCTTGGTTGTTTCACTCTTTTATCTAGACTTTTTTGGGCCTGTGTGCCCTGGAGGGTCTCGCCTTTGTTAGTTCTTCTTTTTCGCATAAAAAAAATTGATTACTTTATTATTATTCTTGATATGTAACTAGAAAATCGAGCTACTGTTACAAATAAAATAACTTGGATCTTCCAGCCAAATGTTGCATATGTTATAAACTCATCTTACGTTTATCTAGGCAATCAAAAATTTATCCATGGCCACTCATTGATGTTGGAATGGCATACTTAATAAATCATAACCAATTCATATGTACAAAACAATGACTAGGTATGAGGAGGGTTATGTTATCTCATTTGACTGGCCATATTTGGCAGGCTTCTAATATTGCATATTCTATTTCATATAGATATTCAAGGAAGAAAAGGGTGGATGAGAGTGAAACCTTAACTCTAGAAAGTATAAGACTCTTTAATTCGACAAGAGGATAGCATAATATTTAGCCTTTGGGATGGTTCAGTATTGTTATAATGCAGACACGTATGACCATGATGAAATGGTACAAACTCGGAGTGCCAAGTCTAATGATGAGGTAAGGGATGAGATCAGATAGTTGATTCAAAACATGGATTTTATATTGGTACACAAATAAATAAATGTCATACATACAAAGGCGCATTTGAACCAGCCTCCTAAGCATTGCATTTATTGGTTCAGCAACACAAACATGAGGAAGAAAATGGCTACAGCTTCCAAATCCCGATGAAAAGCCACCACCTCCAAGAAACAAGAGCCAAAGTCATCCTTTGTATCACATGGCAAACTGAAAAATAAGCTATATGGTGTGCAAGTATACACACCATTGCAATGGAATCCGAATTCACCGGAATTGCATGTCGATTTAGAGAACAATCTTTTAGACAAAGTACCTAAAATTTCTATAAACACTACACATTTATTTTTCATATATTATGTGGTATTTATAGGGGAAGAGGAAGAGGCTAGATAGGTTGTTGTTTGTTTCTTTGGTTAAGCAATGGTGGGACACGACTCATACGTTCCACTTTGATGAGATCGAGGAGATGATGATGACTCCAATGGACTTCAGTGCCATCATTGGGCTTCGTGTGTCCAACAACCCCTTGAAACATAACATAAATGTGCACCAAAAGAGGAAGCAGTTAGAGAAACAGTTTGGGAAACAAGTTTCTCATAGGGTTTATATGAAGAGAATTAGGTATGATAATCTATCTACAACGTACTGGTACAAAGAATCTGCAAGTGAAAATGAAGTTGATGACCAAATAACAAGGGTTTTTATACTTTGCTTATTGGCTTAAGATTCTGCACTACATGCCATCTCTTAAAACAGTCGATGAAATTAAGAATTACAATGAGGGGTGCGGCGTTGGGGTTGGCATTCCTATACGAGGCGAAAAAATGAAAGCACCGGGGGTTATTGAAGGGTTTGGGAGGTCAGTGCAACTGAATGTTACGGCCATGGTTTTTCCAATCATTTTGTTTGTTTAAAACTTAATGACAATTGACTTGTTATTTCTATAAAGGTATGGGCATGAGAATACCTCAAGCGACCCAATGGCAATGCTAATACATGGCCCTAGGCATTGAGGTGGTTAGGCTCAACCTCAAAGCATGGCACAACACAATTTGGAAGAATTTCGAATCATTATGCGACATTTGACAAATGACCATATGGGTGGCATTTTTATCTTGCATGTATTTTTCGCTCAGCTAATGGTTATTACAAATGCTAATTGGGATTGTAACGCGCAGGTTGTCTGGCATCCATATGGGACGGATGAATCAAAGCTCCATAATTGCTTCAAAGTTAGCATGACTATCACACGACAATGAATGTTGGTTCAAGGACCAGTAGGATGGGCTTGGTACTTAGGGAAGCAAGTCACCAGTAAGAGCTTGTAGACAAACAAACCCCATGTCCCTAAGCTTCCACCAAGGACCATGCTTCGTGATTATGAGTTTACCGTTGAAGACGAGGATCATGAGGCACTGAATGGCTCCTCCGTTGAAAATTGGGTTGAAGCCACGCGTTGACCCTTTCACATTGTCACATATGTAGTCAATCTTTTGTACTTCAACTTTATTCAAACAATTTCTCTCAATCTCTTAGCAAAATGAGCAAGGTCTGACGGTTGGAACCATTCCTCCTCAAGCTTGGTTGGTGAGGATACTGAGCTTCATGAATGCCAATGAAAGCAAGTTAGTACGAATTCCTCAAGGACAAGAGAAACCTGACGTATCGTTAACCAAGGAAGTGACGCACGTAAGTAGTTTAATTTACAACATACTGTGATTTTGATCATAGTTTATTTTCATTTCAAACTTTGAATTACATGGGCATTGTAGGTGACCGCGCAAGATGCTACCCACCTACTGCAGCTCATTGCTAAATTGAATGCTTTGCTTTTTTTAACATGTTGCAAGCATCAAGTGAAATTACACGACTCCAAAAGGAGAATGAGTTTTTGTTTTTATATGCATTCCATAACAGTATTGTTGGAATACTGTGTCTCAATCACAAATATTTATCTTGTTCTTTTGTAAAAGGAAACATTGAAAGCAACATAACATTTTCATGAGGGATTTTTAAATAGAGGTGATAATGACGACGATTACAATAAACACAATTTTAGTATATAATTATCATTATATGTTCATGTTAAGTGATTGTTACCATTCATGTTTGTTGTTAAATTATATGTAGGAGCAACAATCTAAAAAGAAACATGATCCACTTGGAAAGGGAAAGGCACCAATGCTCAAACATGAAGATGGCGAAGAGGAAGACGAAAAAGATGACGTGCAAGAAGAAGAGGATATGAGGGAGATGATGTGAAGATGGAGAAGAAGAAGAGGGAGAAGACAACAATGAGGAGGATGATTAGCTTTCCGAACTTGGAGAGGATAGGGATGAGGATGGGACAGACACATAGACAAATGAGGAGTCTACTCTTAAGCAACGGAAAGACAAGACAAACGAATCAGTTCCTTCCTCAAGAGCTAAGAGGCAGACAAACGAATCGGTGCATAATTAGGCATGTAAATACTTCGAGACAAATCAATTTACATACTTCCACACTGTAATTAGGTAAAAATTTATACTTCATACAACTGCAAATACTCATTCTTTTAAAATGTTAATACAAAGTCTAAAACAAGATAGATTGTGATCTAGAATTATACACCATTAATGCATCATTTATCTCGAATGTTGATTTTTCCATGCAAACAACAACCCATAACTTTGACTGGTATAAGATTCAATCACTGGACAATTGTATCGGTTTGAGTGCCAAAAGACATCATTTCTGGAAAAATCACCAAAGTAGTTAGATGTTGATTGAGAAACCGTTAATTGTAGCTTATATCAGGTGATAGCCCAATCTTGTTACTATATTGAGAGCTTTGACAACCAAAAGGAATATTCAAGGCTTTATTTCCAGTTGAATGGATGTTTCTTTAAGAGCAATTATGCTTTATGTGTCTATATCCGCAGCACAACATGCATTGTCGTTACTTGCGTGTTACACTGGCTCATCCTTGGGTGCCTTTTGTCCTCACTACGGTTCCATCTTTCACAATGTTTGCAGGAAATTTCCCACGACTACCCAATTTAAGACTCGTCTCTTCTTCTTTCTGCCATAAGCCTTCAACTATTCCCTCTAATCGCCTGAGTTTATTCTTAAAAATCTCATACCCATCTATACTCTTCGATGCATACAAACACACTTTGTTATCCATACAACTTAAACTTTCATATCTCGCGGTTTCTACAACTTCCTTGCTACCAATTTCTAATATAAATGCATATTCAATGTCTATTCGGGCACTCTTTGTCCATCGCTTCATTATGAGTGATGGGGAAATTTCCATAACATGCTCCCACTTCATCACATAAAACAAATGGCAACATGGGATGTCTTCTCTTTCATATTTGTGGCAATTGCACTATATTTGAACATCTTCCCCACTATGGTACACACAACTCCAATTATATTATGGTTCCCCATATTTCGTTAAAATATACAACCATCCTCTAAAATTATGAATTATTTTTTCATGAATGAGCGTTGAAGAAGCATTGATCTCATTACGTATAAAAACAAAAAAAATCACCTATGGGTGTAAATTTCGAAAGCATGTTGCTCAAGATTTTTTAGTGTTGTTATCACCGGATATAAGCTGCAATAAAAGGAAGGGTTTCTCAAATTAAAAGCCCTTCCTTTTACTGTTTTGCGTTGAAATCATTCTTCGTCGTAGTATTCCTCATACGTGACATGCCTTATCAATTACCAAAATGCATACAAACAACTTAATGTCTTTCCTCAAGTAATCCTTCACAAACTTGTTCATATACTCCACGTGTTGAGTGTTGTAAATACCACCAAAAAACTTGGGTCTAAGCCGTGATTCCACCCATGCATCTCATTTTGCATACATCATTTCCAATTTGTTTTGGTGTAGTAACTTTTTCCTTCAAAAACTCTCATTTATTTTCAAACTCATTGAGTGTAATTGGTACCCAAAGACATGCTTGAAATGCTCGTACTAATTCTTCATCCTTCAAGTTATTATGTGCATTCCTTGTCATGTGCCATGAGCACAACCTATGATTGCATTTGGGCAACACATACTCAATTACTTTGCGCATCACCTCATCCCCATCAGTCAGTATTGATATAGTCTTCCTATCTTTTATGGACGATATGAATGTCTTCAACAACCACTTACACGTTTCAAAGGTATCATCAAGGAATCAAACACAAGCAAATATTACAATTGTCGGGTAGTTGTTCAAACCAACAAACAACACTAGAGACTTGTCGTACATATTGGTTATGTACATGCTGTTGAATATGAGGACATCTCCAAAGGCAATATAATCCAAAAGTGAAGTAGTCTCTCCAAAACAAGTTAGCAAGTCTATTCTCCTTATCCACACTGAATTTACATAAGAATTCATGATCCACTGATCCTTTCTCTTTTAAGTAGGTGAGTGCAGCTTTTGTGTCATCGTCCAACAAGATTTCCTTACATGATGCATCCAACTTATTATATAGATCCTTGATTTGAAATCCCACATTCAAATACCCACCTGATTGGTTCACCATATACTCGTAAGTATGACTTACCCTTACCAAAACTCTATGCTTTGCCATTTCTTGGGCTAAATCTAAAGTTGAAACTACCCGATTCAGTCAGAGATAAGGTGATTCACATGGTGTCGCTAATTCGTGACTGTGATCTGATTCAAAGTTTTTTACAATGTAAATTTCACGTATCTTTTCATAATTTACCACCCAAAAAGCCAGACAATTCTCTCTTGTCAACCGCCTAGGTGATCACACCCTATTTAGTAGGTCATTGTACTTTTCTTCTCTCATATCTGCCTTTGAGCAACACCACTGTCTCCTTGTTAATTTCCCTTCCTTATTATAAATCAATCTATCTTTTCTTACGCTAAATCCAATAGCCTTTGCATAGCTTAAGTAATATTCATATGCTAACTCAAACATTTAAACTCCAACCCTATAACATCTTCTTTCGTCAATTGCTTCCAATTAAACTCATTACACTGCCTACTTTGAGCCAATGGTTTTTCGGTTGAATGCAATTGCATAACTCATAACACGATATGCATACAACTTCAAAACCTACTTATAATTCTTACCTCTTACTTCTGAATGGTTTGATGCCTCTATCCTTCAAACTCAGCATGTCGTCGTTCAACCGCTTCTACCGTAGGCAACCAATCAGAAAATCTGTAGACCATATGTCATCTAACTTGCAAAAAAGATTAGGACCAAAATAGTAAGCACGCGGCCTCACACCAGGTCGTCCTCACGAGAAAGAGAGATGAGGAAAATCCACCATCTCTAGGTAAGGCGTTGACAACATGAATGAATTCAGATGAAGAAGGAGATCTCTAATTCTTGCGTGCCTCAAACCAGGTCCTCCTCACGCCAGATGCGGAAGACCCACCGTCATTGGGTATGGCGTGGGCATGTGAGTGCCTTCAGACGAAGGAGGAGACGCTGCGCACCTGGTTTTTTTTTCCCTAGACTTGCCTCTCTCATGTGATCAATATTCAGAACAACCTTAACAGGTTTCCATGGTCATTGATTATCAACTGTAAGATTAAAACATTAAAATTTAACCGTTGAAGGATTTGATGTATATCCATACTTCAAAGCATATTAGAATTTTCGCTATATTAGAGACAAATGGACAATGGTGTCATTTATTATTTTTCAAAAGAGTTATCAATACACATGTTTATTCAAGGGATGCATTGGTTGCCTCTTCAGATTTGGACACAATCCTTTGGAAGGGCTCTTCATCATTCTTTTTTTTCTTTTCTTTTCTTTTTCCTTTTTTTTTCTTGCCAAAACTCTTCATCAATCTACTAAGAGCAATCCTTTTGCTATCAAATCATTCAATTCATAATCTACATCCACACTTAAATGTAAAGTTTTAGAAGTCTTATCCCTGCATTATGTGAGAGACTTTTCAGAATAATCTGGTTCACGAGTCCTTGTGAATTGTTGTGCTTCTTTCACAAGAACATGAGTTGTTGTATGCTAGGAGGTGAGCGTTAGTAACCATAAGCATATTTGTGGGATGTAATTTGTCTTAGGCTAGAGTGTCCAACTTTTGCCTCGACTCAATTACGGTTATTCTAAACCCCAATTCTTTTTCTTAGATTTCTGTTTTATTTGTAAATTTTTCAGTTTAATTATAGCAATTTAACATTTAATTTTCCTATTGCACTTTATGTATAAAGATAATAATAATGTATTTCTTTCTTCTTTTTTTAAAGAATTTAACAATTAAAAATAATATTTTTAAAATGTTCTCTCTCATCCATTGCATCCCAACTCAACTCCACCACACGCCACTAACTCCATCACTTTCCCACCTCCCTAGCCACACACCCAACCCCACCCCCTTTCGTCCAAAACTCATTTGGCCTAGCCACACCCAACCAGACCCAACCCCATCCCTACCACCCCCGAGCTGCCATTCATTGATTAATTAGTTAAGTATATGAGTAAAACCGAAAAATTATTTTAAATGAAAAGCCACATGTGGATCTTAAGAAAATTCAGGCCCGGCTACATGCCATGGTAGCAACCACCACCTTCTTATTCGAAATTTTTTGTCCTCTTTTAGGAATAATTTTTTTCTTGTCAAATTTTGGAAGGAAGGGAGTAGGTGCGTTGGGGTTCAAACATGAGACTAGTAATCTCTAGGCAAATACTCTTACCACTGATCTATGGACCAGTTGTCCTTCCTTTAGGAATACTAACATTTGACGATTTCTTTCACAAGAGCATAGTTTTGATCCATTTTGCCAATGACTTGCCCAGGCCAAAAGCCACAAAATCCTGATTTACACTACACTTGCTCACAAATGTGGACCTAGAATCCGCTTCCTAATTTTGAATCTCTTTAGGGGTTGTTTGATAACCATTTCACTTTCAATTAGTTTTCATTTTCATTTTTTTTAAATGAAAACTGAAAACATGTTTAGTAACAGATTTCGTTTTCAGTTTTCAAAAAAGTGAAATCTAGTTTTCAAAATCACCCTTTTTTTTAAAACTACTTGAAAGTGTTTTTAATTTTCAATTTTCAGTTTTCAGTTTTTGTTTTCATTTACTTGAGTCCTTTTTTATTCATTAATTTTATATCACCACACATAAAATGCACTCTTGTTACCAAAGTTCGGTATTTGGGACCTACCCACTTGGATCCGACAACTCGATTCTTGCGTTTGGCCACGGATCTAGTCTAAGCCTTGGGACCTCTAGATCCAAAATTCACAAAAAAAATATCCTAATTCCAAATAATTCATAAAATAATACTACGAACTCTTTGTAACATGCACTTTCATTCTATGATCTAAAATTCACAATTTGAGCCCAAAAAATTCCATTCTAGGTTCCACATAAAATTCAAAATTGAAATCAATTATCAAACAATTTTTGTTTAATTTTCACTTTTCCCCTTTTTTTTTAACAAAAAAAATTGAAATTAGTTACCAAACAAGTTTTTAGTTTACACTAAGCAAAACTATAACCCAAAAAAACTGAAATTAGTTTGTCAGTTTTCAAGTTGTTTTAAAAATGGTTAATTTCAGTTCAGTACTCTGAACTCTCACCCTTAAGGCGTGTTTGTTCATGCACTCTCAATTTTAACAATAAAGTACCTTAAGTTTGTTAATTTGTTGTAATGTGGTTCTGGGGTTAGAAAAGTTTGTAAAGAATCTGTTAAGTGATGACGTGACAAACGTGAGACCTGCTTCCTTCAATTAAATTGATTAAAATATGAATAAAATATTATTTTTTGGGACAGAATTGAAGAAAAGGAAAACTACAGATCATGACACCAACCGACCACCAGCACCACCCTCCACCCACCCCACCCCCCCCGCGCGCGGGCCCCTGCATTTCTTTCTCCTCCCAGTGACTGCCAGCCTCCATCCCCAACCACCCACTCTCTCCATCATCATAAACCCACTTGTTGACACAAAAAAATGGTTCGGCACTTTCCCGCGCAACTTAGTGATGTTGGGCCTTCGGTATGCTCTGGGCCTCGGTAGGGCATTCGATCTGCAAGATAACAAACGCTCGGTAAGACCTAGGGCACCGGTGTGATACCGGCCGACGGCTCTCCAATGCTTGAGTAAGTACGGATTTAGTAAGATTGAACTATATATCAATAGGCAGTATGCCATAAGTTCTGATTGATTACCACCAAGTTGGGATAGTTGTCCTCTTTTATAGGCCTTGGGAGGTGTGCAAGTTGTTTAGAATTTCGATGTGGGACTGTGGACTCCAATTGTGGGACTGCCACATGTCCCTGGGGGTGAAGTTTCCCTAATCGGTAGGAACAGTACCAAAGCTAGGTACCGAAGGCTTCTATAGCTCTAGTTTGGTCCACGTGTCCGATGCTTATTGGCTGTTCATTTTGGTATAAACAAGAGTCCCCTAAGTTCTCTTGCGAAGTTCTCGAAAGGGGACTTGAAATTGTCTTCGGCAGGAAATGTTGTCCAACCGTTTGGTAATCCAGCTGGTGGAGGGGCTCAACTTTGGCCCTTCCGTTTTTGTTCATTCAGAGGCTGACGTCGGGGAAGTCAGAAGGTCACGTCGAGTTGACGTGTGAAGGGACGCCTGGGCGCTTCGTCTTCCGTGCCTCGCGTGCCGTCAATCCCCCATAGGATGAGCAACACGTGGCGAGAGTAATCATGAGGCGCGGCACATTAATGCGCCGTTTGGTTTTTCGAGGTGTACCGTTGCGAACCCTCGCCCTATAAATAGGGGTGACCCCAAAAAGGAATTCACTTTGCATTTGTGAGAAGCGAGAGCTTTATTGAGGCGATTTCCGACGAGAGCTTCCGGTATTCGAAGCGATTTCCAACGTGGGCTAACGGTAAACCAGGCAATTTCCGGCATTACGAACTGCCAGAAAGGCGATTTCCGTCAAGGCGATCGGTAGCATAGTTCGTGGTCTTCTTCCAAAGCTTGACTTAAGGTACCGTTCGACACCCTCAATTTACTCTCTTCCTTAACTAGCGTTACGTCCTTCCTTGGTTTGAACTAGACTGACCATAAGGGTCCGTTCGGTAGTTTAGTCGCCATAGGTAGCGATGTAGGGATCGGTAGGCTAGTATCCGGCATGAGCCTTAGTTTCCTTCTTCCTTGTTTTTGTAGATGTCTGATAGCGAGTCATTTTCCGAGCGTGAGCCCAAAGCGTTAAGTGGGGAGTCATCGGACGGTCTTTTTGACTCCGACAGCGAGGCGGTAGGCCCCGATGCCAGGGACGAAAGCGACACCGATGTTGAGATACTCGGTGAAGGCCCTAGCTCCGTTCCTTCACATGGCGTCGGGAAGGGGCTAATGACTGCACCTGTACCGTTGTCTATTGTCTATAGCGACGGCAGCCACATTGGTCTAGCTATGCCTGGGGAGACGAGCACTAGTCGCCAGTCAGAGATCTCCACTTCCGGCGATGAAGAGTCAGCCGCCGAACCATCTTCTCGGCCGAGGGTATCGGTAGTCTTTCCCAGCAATCCTAGGGTGTCGATGGGAGTTCCGAAGGAGCACCTATTCGGCGTAGACTACCTGGAGCCCAACAGGATTACCGAGCGGGAGATCGCGAAATATCACGCCGAGTATTTCATACCAGATTCAGTAGGAATGAGGATCCCAACAGCCACCGAATCTCTAAGTAAGCCGAAGGAGGGTGAAGTCGTCTTCTTCACGGACGTACTTCTGCAAGGGGTGAGGCTTCCGCTGCAGCCTGCCGTTCAGAGGATCTTGGCACATATCGGCTATGCTCCCAGCCAATTCAACCCCAACTTCTGGGTGGCGTTAATAGGAGTGGTCACGACCTTCGGCATGGCAGCGTCACCAAGTCAAAGTCTGCCGACCACAGGAGTTGGGTTCAGGCTAACTGCCTGAAGGCTACCGAGCGCGGCCACTTTGTCACTGCCGTGCATACCTCCTAGAAGATGTGGAGGAAACGGTGGGTGCTTTTGTCTGGTGATTGGGAATCGCCATCGGGACATCCCGTCCGTTTCCACATTCCCACCACCTTCCAAATAGCTGGTAGGCCATCGTACCGTTCGGTAGGTCTTCTAGTGTGTAGGCGTCTCTCAGGCTTCTCGGCGCCTTATGCTTGGCCTCCAGGGGAAGAAAAAGAAAAGTCGGTAGCTGGAAGCGGTACCAGCGTCCTCGGGAGGAGTCGACCCCGAAGACTAAACCCTCGCCGACCATCGTCTTCAGCTCAACGCTGGCTCGGTGCAGGCCGGAGCTACAACGGCCGATCCGTCTCCTAGCCGAGGTGTGCCTGTTGAGGGCACCTCCTCCAAAGCAGCCGGCAAGCGCCCATTCACCGTCGATCTGGATGCCGATCCCGCCCCAAAGCGCGGCCGGCAGACTGAGCCTGATCGGGCCATCTTCGGTGCTGAAGACGACGATGCGCCTGCCGAACCCGTCACTTTGGCTTGTCCATTGAAGACGGTCCAATTTGCGAACTACATGATCCTCGGTTCGCAAATGGAGCTATCCGAGATCGAGAAACTACCGAAGAAGCTCCTTCGGGAGGAGGCTAGCCGTGCCTTCGTTCTTCAAGCTTCGGTAAGCGCTAACTATTCTCAGTTTATCTTACCGTTTGCTTCCGGCCTTGTCTAACATTTTCCTTTGTTTCCCAGGCTTCAATGGACATGTGGTTGTGCGTTAAGCGAGCCATCAATGCCACCGAAAAGGTGAAGAAGGCTTATGAAGACGGCAGGGCTAGGGTTGCCGAGGCTGGCAAGGCTATCCAAGCTCATGCGAACTTGGCAAAGGACATGCAGGCTACCGAACGGCAGGTCAAGGTTTATGAAGCCAAGTTCGCTGAGATGTCAGCAACCCTGGAATCGGCGCAGCTAACGGCAAAAGAGGCTCTGGAGGCGAAGGAGGCGATCCAGGTGGCTTTTGAGGAGTCGAAGCGGGCCAAGGCTTCGGAGATTGAGGCTGCAGTCCAAAAGGCAATCCGAGGTTACCGTCACTCTCCGAGTTCTCTACCTTGCTGGACAAGGAGGTGGGCTCGAAAATGGCTGATCTGCTCCACCGTTTCAAGCGGTACAACCCCGGACAAAAGCTCAACCTCAACTTTATTGCCGATCCTCCCCCTCTTCCTAAAGGCATAACTGAAGAGATGATCGAGGACTACGAGGGGGAGGATGCCCCAGAAGAGGCTCCTGCCGAGGAGGCCACTGCCGATGTCGAGGAGGCTGCTGCCGATGCCGAGGAGGCCGCTGCTTGACAGAAAGCTTCCATCAAGCACAGAATGTTAATCTTCTCCAAAAGCTTCTTCTCATTTTCAACTAAAGCTGGTTGAGCCCTAAGAGATGATAGAAGAGTACGAAGGGGAGGGCGCTCCAGAAGAGCCCGTTGCTCCTAGTGCCGAGGAGGAGACTGCCGCTTGAGCCTTGTTTAAGTTTTATTTCATGTAACTGCCATAAGGCAATATTTTCTGAACATCTTGATGCTGAGGGCATCTTTTAATTCAAACAGTTGTAATTTTCTAATTTGATTGTCAAAGTTGTTTCACTTTCGGCATTTTTCTGCTTTAACTTGTCTTATGAACTTTTTAAATGTCGATGGCTAAATAAAAGTTTATCAGCCGTAGGCCAATAACAAGCTAACTTCCGAAGTTCAAAACTAATCATTGTAATTGCTGAAGGCAGAATGATTGACTTAACTGCCGATGGCTAGTATAACCTTGAATCGGTAAGCAACTTAGAGCTTAACACTTTACTGCCGAGGGCTAATAACAGAATAACTCTAAAGTGAACCTTTAAAGTGCCAAGGGCTAAATAAGGTGATCTTCCAATTGGTAGGAAAGAATACCATGGTACCTTAATTGCCGAAGGCTAATAAAGGTTTTTTTTTTTTTTTTTTTTTTTTTTTTAAATGTATACTGCGATCGATGGTCTCTACCGTATCTTTGAAACGGAAAGAAATTAATGAACACACCGAAGGTTGTGAATATATGGGCCAAAGGCCTTTTCATTAATAATTGCCGAAGGCAAAGATACATTTGGAGTTCGTTTTACAATTGAAAACCTGTCGTAGGCTAGGGAACTCAATACTGCCGAAGGCTGTGAGTAAGAATAAGCCGAAGGCTTTCTCAACTATGTTTTCAACCTGCCCTAGGCTAGGTGACTTCATTTAAAATAATATTTCAAATGCTCTACGTTCCAAGGATGACCAAGAGTCTTTCCATTGAAGTCTCTGAGCCGATAAGTCCCCGATCGCTGGATGCTGATGATCTCGCTAGTTGCCAGAGAGACTTTTCGCATGACCCAATCTCCGACTCGGAACGAGCAGGATCTGACCCTGGAGTCGTAGTATTGAGAGACGCGTTGTTTGCAAGCGGTTTTGACAATGGTGGTGCCTTGCTCATGTAGTTCTTCAAGTCTTGAAATGCTTGGTCACATTCGGGAGTCCACGCGATATGATGTTTGCCCCCTTTCAAGGCTTTGAAGAACGGTACGCATTTATCAGTGGCCTTGGAGATGAAGCGCGTCAAGGCAGCGACACGTCCGATAAGGCTTTGAATGTCTTTCTGGGTCTTCGGCGTCTTCATGTCGATTATGGCTTTGATTTTCTCGGGTTGGCCTCGATTCCTCTTTGGCTGATCATGAATCCAAGAAATTTCCCCGACGATACACCGAAGGCGCACTTCGTTGGGTTCAACCTCATTCGGTAGTCTTTCAGTATACCGAACATGAGGGCTAAGTTTTCCAGATGCCCCCCTACCGTTCGGCTTTTCACCAACATGTCGTCAACATACACCTCCATAATGTCGCCGATGTGTTTAGCAAAAATCTGATTGACGAGCCATTGGTACATTGCCCCTGCATTCTTCAAGCCGAAAGGCATAACATTGTAACAGTACAACCCGCGGTCGGTAATAAATGTCGTATGCTCGCTATCAGCAGGGTCCATGAAAATCTGGTTGTACCTTGAATAGGCGCCCATGAAGCTGAGCAGCTCGTGTCCAGCGATTACGTCAACGAGCTAGTCGATCCTCGGCAATAGGAAGTTGTCCTTCGGACAGGCCTTATTCAGGTCGGTATAGTCTTGACACATTCGCCATCCTTCCTTGGCCTTTCGAACCATGACTGAGTTGGCAAGCCAGACAGGGTACATAGCCTCCCTGATAAAGCCGATGGCTTTAAGCTTGTCAACTTCGGTACAACGCATAGCCTCATACCATTCGGCATCATACGAATGGCGCTTTTGTCTGACTGGCTTATATACGGGAGAGATGCTGAGCTTGTGGCTGATGACGTCAGGTGATATCATCGTAAGACCAGGCGAAGACCTCCGCCTGTTGCCGCAAGAATTCAATGAATTGCGTTCGTAGGTTGGGATCTAGGGTGGTGCCGATCTTTACACATCGATCGGGATACTGCTCATTCAGGATTACCATTTCGAGTTCTTCGGCAGGCTGCGCTATTGGCGTTGGCGTTTCCTCTCTTGGGTCGTCTATAGGCCCACTACCGTTCGGTAGTCCCTGCACAGACATGGCCTCTATTGAAGGCTTGCAAGCTACCGATTTCAGAGCAGTCGCATAGCACGTCCGTGGGCTGAGCTGGTCTCCTCGGATAATGCCAGTACCATTGCGAGTAGGGAATTTCATCAGCAACATGTGGAGGGACAAGTGGGCTTTGACTCTAGTGAGTGTTGTCCGTCCTACGATGACGTTGTATGCTGTTGGGCAGTCGACGATGAGGAATTGGTCGTAGGTCATCGTTACTCTAGAGGCAACGCCGAAGGCGATGGGCAGACTGATACTGCCGACTGGCTGGACTAGATCCCCAGAAAAACTGAGTAGAGGCGTTATCTGCCGATTGACCATGCTGTCAGCAATTCCCAATCCTCTAAAGGCATCGGCAAAAATCACATTTACCGAACTTCCGGTGTCGATCAGTACCCGACCTACATCGTAATTGGCGATCTCGGCTCGAATGATCATCGGGTCATCGTGGGGGTAAATGATCCCTTCTTCCTCTTCTTCGCAAAATGTGATGGGCTCTCAACCCACCTACGGGATCTTGAGGTGCCGATCGGCTTCTATGCCGAAGACTTGAGGGTAGTGAGCGACACGCACATATTGCTTCATGGATCGGTTAGAGGGTCCCGCCAGAGTGGGGCCTCCGCTGATGGTGCTGATCATGTTGATCTGCCGATTCGCGTTTGGGGCTGGTGCCTGCTGCGGTCTAGCAATGTATTGATCCAGCTTTCCCTCCCGAATAAGGCGTTCAACGATCTTCCTCAGACTAATGCAGTCTTCGGTGTTGTGGCTGTTCTGCTGGTGATATCAGCAGAATTTGCTGGTATCCCGATTGTCCTGCCAATTGGGCTTTCAGTTTGGTTTCGGGATTTTTTTCGTGCACGTTCATCTGGACGGCCTCATATGTAGTATTCAACAGGGTGAAGACTTCCTGAGCGCGGTCGTGATTCGGTAGTGGCGCTCGATGGTCGTTGCGACCGTATTTCCCACACCCCTTCTTTGAGCTCCCTTGCCGATTATCACGGTCTTCCTTTCGCTTGTGGCATGCCGAAGAGTCGTCAGTCCGCCCAAGATAGCTTTTTGGTGCTGATTCCTCCTGCCGAGTCGAAGGCTCGGGCTTAGAGTTGAAATATTCAGCCTTGGCGTGGACTGCTGCCTGCTTCATCAATTCGTCATACGTGTGCCAATTGCTACTGTGCACGAGATACCAAAAGTGAGAGGACCGAAGGCCACTCTTGAAGGCGCCGTAGGCTGCCTTATCATCCGTTTCCGGACACCTCAAGTATTCATGACTGAAGCGCACAACGTATTCCCGTAGGGATTCGTCTCCTCTCTGCCGAACCGTGTATAGATCGTCGGTAGAGTACAGACGGTCTTTCTGGATTATGAAGTGATTGAGAAAAATCTGCTTCAGTTTGTCTAACGAGTTTACCGTTCCTGGTTCAAGACGGTAGAACCAGTTCAAAGCGGCTCCGGTAAGGGAGGATAGGAACAACAGGCATTGCCCCTCATCGCTGAGGCCCTTGCATCCGACTGCCGATTGGAAAGAGTGAAGGTGTGTCAATGGGTCTTCCACGCCAGTGTAAAACGGTATGCGCAACGGTTGTACCTCCCGGTCCTATCTGGACTTCTTGATGCGCTCGGTAAAGGGTCCTGACCGAAGTTTCCCCCAGTCAGGTTCTTGGGACCAGGTTCAGTCGTCTTCCATCTTCTGATTTCTCTGGAAGAGCAGACGGATAGCGAGGTCTCGGCTTGGGATCTCCTCGGAAATGTAGTCTTCGGAAGTTCTCCTCGAACTTGGTGGTCTTGCCTTCGAATACTCCGTGGGAGTTTCCGAACGGTAGTTTGATTCGATGCCCTTGGATGGGGCATACTCGTCGTCAGATTCTACCTTCGACTCCAACTCTTGGACCTTTATAAGGGGTGATTTGTTTCCAATGACCCTCATCCGTGAGTTCCGCAGGTGAGCATTGATCCTAACTAAGGACCTTTGCCGTTCGGCATCCTTGTCGTTGATCCAATGGCGACAGTCGGTGTAGACCTTCTTCGGTACGTGAGGCCAGTCCCGTGGAGCCGGGACTACCAGCTGTTTGGAAGGCGCAGGCGTTGCCTTTGCCCCCTTCTTCCCTTTCTTTTGCCGACCGGGGGTCTGCAGACTCTGGGAAGGTTCTGTAGATTGAATATTCTGCGTTTCCTGCTGATTAAGCAGCCACTGGGTTTCGTCTACTTTGGACGAGAGGAGGTTGTTATGTTCTTGGAGTTTGGCCATTTCCTTCCGAAGGGAAGTCATTTGAGCCAGAAGCTCTGCTTCGACCATAGTCTGAATCACCGGAGGATTACCAAAGGGAGTTCTAGGGTGCAGCGCGGGGCTTGCTCCACTTGGCATGCCATACGGTAGTCCATCCTCCGATAAGAACGCTGGTCCTGAAGTGGTTCCTTTTTTTTTTTTTTTTTTTTTTTTTTTTTTTTTTTTTTTATAGGTTGATTCTTATCGTTTCCCACAGACAACGCCAAACTATTGACGCAGAAAAATGGTTCGGCACTTTCCCGTGCAACTTAGTGATGTTGGGCCTTCGGTATGCTCTGGGCCTCGGTAGGGCGTTCGATCTGCAAGATAACAAACGCTCGGTAAGACCTAGGGCACCAGTGTGGTACCGGCCGAAGCCTCTCCGATGCTTGAGTAAGTACGGATTTAGTAAGATTGAACTACAAATCAATAGGCAGTATGCCGTAAGTTCTGATTGATTACCTCCAAGTTGGGATAGTTGTCTTCTTTTATAAGCCTTGGGAGGTGTGCAAGTTGTTTAGAATTTCGATGTGGGACTGTGGACTCCAATTGTGGGATTACCACGTGTCCTTGAGGGTGAAGTTGCCCTAATCGTGCGATCGGTAGGAACGGTACCGAAGCTAGGTGTCGAAGGCTTCCATAGCTCTAGTTTGGTCCACATGTCCGATGCTTATTGGCTGTTTATTTTAGTATAAACACCACTCAACCACCTCATCCTCACCTGATGACCCACCAGCTCACCTCCCATCATTCCTCTCTCTCTCTCTCCTCTCTCTCTCTCTCTCTCTCTCTCTCTCTCTCTCTCTCCTCTCTCTCTCTCTCTCTCTCTCTCTCAGTTTGATCAATTCCGAATTATATTTCCTTAGATGGTTTACATTTAACCAGTTTCCTTTCCTAAGATTACTATATAAAATAAAATTAAAATAATAGATCTTAGTTTCTTTGTCGAATGTGTTATGGTCTAATGGGTACTTTGGATATTGCAGGTGGTCAGTGATTGGGAAGGGAGATAACCTCACCAGATGGAAAGGCCAATAGAGGTGCAGGTGCTATTCAAACATACACTGCCATTAACGCTGGTAACGTTTTCAATTTGCATAATCTTCTAGCCCTTGCATAAACTTTCACTCATTTTCTTGTATTGTCAAAGTTTTCAGCCTTATGTATGTTAGAATTTCTGCAAGGAACTCAGGTGGGCCGTTGATTGATTCATATGGTCATAGTATTGGAGTTAACACAGCAACTTTCACTCGCAAAGTTAAAGCATGCTCTTTCATTTGTATTATCAAGTGTTCCTCGAATGAGCTCTAAACTAGTTGGCAGCACCACACTAGGAAGAGATTTTGAATCCCAAGTTCTATTACCCTATTCAGAAGGTTGGAACTTGGAACCTAACAAAATATTTAACCAGCAAAATATCTCCGAATTATAAAACGTAGTCAAAGCTTCAAACCTTTTAAATGCTTATATTCTCTCTCTATATTTTGCACGGACAGGAGTATCATCTGGTGTTAACTTTGCAATACCAATCGACACTATTGTGCGAACTGTACCATACCTTATTGTATATGGAACACCGTACCGAGACAGGTTTTGATCGATTTACCATTGTACATAAAACATATTCCTCATATCCAATGTCTCTTGGAAAAACAAGTTGTATAAGTTTCATAGAATCCGATCCCATTACTAAGGGGGGTGTATTGAATTAGGATTTTAATAGATTTTTTTGAAGCTTAAAAGTCCAGTGGTATTCAATTATGATTTATAAGTAATCAATAAAAATCTGATGGTATTCAATTAGGATTTTAAAATCATTAATGCAAATCTGGTGGTATTCAATTAGGACTTTCAAAATATTAGAAGAAGTACAGTGGTATTCAAAAACTTACCGATTTTGAGGTATTTCATTAAATTATGTATTCTGTGTGACTTTTCAGTGGGTGATATAAATACCAAACCCCATAAGAAATCACACCCTATTACATCTGATTTTCACGTTGGTTTGTTTTGGGAGAAGATGAACAAACTTGAGAAGTGAACAACGTTCTCATCTTTTCTCTTCACATGCTTGTTACTATTTTTTTGTCTCTATTTGCATTATCTATGTTGCTTTGCTGTAGGCACAAGCCTACATACATCCTTTGCTATGGAACATACAAAGAAACCAATCTGTAAAGATTAATTGGTTTGTTGTGCATTGCCCATTCTTTAGGAATATTTTTCTTATTTATTTATTATCTCATAAAATAGTATTTTATAACTTTTGTAAAACTGGAGAATAGCTATTCAAATAACGATAGAATGGCAGATATATATTTTTTGAGATCAATACGATGCAAGTCATATCGGATATATATTTTTTAAAGATATTGTTGTTGAAAAATGTTTCGTTAGTAGAAGCCATTGGGTACACAAATGCTTATCATCTTGAGACTTCCTTGTTTTATTTTGATCTAAAACCAGTCTTTCTTTCTTTTTATATAATACTAATAAATAGTTGACGGTGGAATGACTAGAAGAAGTTCATCAGTAGGAAATATCCTTTCGTTAGGATGCTTTATTTCTTGGTTTGAATGCATAGTGTTTGGGTCTTCTAGTCCCACTTGGGAGAAAAGGACCACTATGCTACGATTTTTTTAATTTTTAATTTTTAATTTTTGATAAAGATGAACTTTCATTAATAAAGACCAAAGAGAGGTCATATAGAACTACTGAGACTACACAACATGAAAGTTTATTTATGAAAGTATATGAAAAATAATGGGGTTTTATTACGTCTTGAATAACTTTGTTTTCCTTGCCATGTCTAAATTTACATGACGTTATTGTTATTACTTTTATCATTTGGTTATTAATCCATGTGACATAATTAATTCATGTTATTATATAATTTTTATTTCATATGAAATCCTAGAGCAAATCTTTTGATTCTTTGGAGAATACAAAAAAGTCCCAAGTGAATCATAAGAGAATCATGTAATTACAATCTATTAAAATCATAAGTAAAATCTTGTAATTACAAATCTTGCTGAAATCAATTACATTAAAATCATGTGATTACAATCTATTAAAATCCTAAATGAATACACCCCCTAAATGAATATTGATTTTGATGGATTCTGAAGAAACATATTTTGATTGATTTGTATTTGTTGAACTATAGTTTATATTTTGATTGATTTTGATGGCTGCTGATCGTGAAGAAACATATTTTGATTGATTTGCAATGCAGAAAATAGACACTGCAATGCAGAAAAACAGAGCATGCGATAAATTGCATACCTCTAGCTGATTTAAGTGTATATTGTATATTGATTTGTTTAGATTGTTTATTCATAGGTTTTGTCATGTAGTTTTTGGTCTTCCTTCCTGCATGAAAAGTGTAACACCATGGGAGGTATGAAATTTCTACTTCATGTGTTTCTTGTAGTTCGATAAATGTCTATAAGTTTTGCATACTTTAGTTCAATATAATGCTTTAATTACCTGCATTATGAAAAGAAACTGTAATGGATGAAATAAAAACTGCAAGGGGAGATAAGGGTTGTTACTATTTACGTGAATAGCATCAGTCCTTACAAAAAGCTTGTTGTGTTTCCACCCATTGTCATGGAAAAAGACAAATACTATTTACTTTATTTTTATTTTATTTTTTACTTTAAATGATTAATTTGGATAAGATTTTCGGTTGCCACGTATCAATATTTATTATAAAATTCACATCTCATATTTAGGATAAAATTCCCATCTTTGTTATAAAATTCCCATCTCAAATTTCTTCATTTAACCAATTAAATAAATGACAAACAACTAATTAAATAAAATACAAGCAATACAACTAATTAAATAATAGACAAGCAATACAACCTAATGGTTTTCATCATTTAACCAATCGTGTTGCTTGGTCCATCATCACGGAAAAGCCTTCTTCTTATAACTTCCCTTCGTTCTAGCTTTCAAAATGACTTTGTTTCAGGGGACATATGACTCGTATCCATGGCCATGGTTTCCCATCCTTCTTGTCCATGTCTTGTTTTTGTGCATACTCCCTTTCTCTTGCAAATGTTTCATCTCTTGTCTTCTCATCCGCATATCTTTTCATGTCTTTCTCAATTCTCATTGTGCCGTTCAGAGCAATTTGCTCCAAAAATTTTGACAATCATTGGTGGAATTACTCCCTCTCTTGGCCTTTATCACCTTTCTCCCAATAGGCCTTGGCTCCCTTTGGATTAGTAAGTCTTGATTCATCGGGGGACTCCAACGGCGAATCTGATGTCGTTGAATCGTGGAACGGAGTCTCTTCAACACAACAGTCGGACACAGGGGAATAATTTTGAATCTCGAAAAAAAAAATTCACTACCTCCCAACATTTGTGATTGTTGAAAGATTTTTTGCCTTGGCCAATGGCATCGAACCACATTGTGCTTGCATAATCTATAATTTTAAATAAATAAAAATTGGAAATGCCATAAAATTTCAAAAAAAATAGGACATTAAATTTAATAAAACGGCAATTACAAATAATTTACCTCGTTGCCAAGATTTTCGCTGCTTCGAACGTTATCCCTTGCTTTTGCTCTCTCCATTTCCCCAACTCTTTATTCAAAAATTTCCACCTACTAGCCAAGGTCATTTCCGTACGAGCAAAACCCGACCTTTTTCTCCACATATGAGAAAACTTCATCTCACATTGCCCATGATCGTGACCAACTTGGACCCAACACTCACACAATAAAACATCTTCCATTGTTGTCCACGACCCTCCGGCTTTCATTGAAAGTGAATAAAATTTGGTGTGGAAAGTGAATAATATTGGAAGGAGAAGAAAATGTTTGAAGATTTGGTGTGAAAAGTGAAGAATATTGATAGGTATTTATAGAAAAAAAAATTAATATTTTCCTTTTTTAAAAAAAAATTTTTACACGAAAATTGTAGGGGTGGTTGCGGTTCGGTAATCGCGAATTTTTACTCAAACCGCAAATCGACCGACTATTTGCGGTTTGGTGATTTTTGAAACCGCAAACCGACCGCGTTTTGCGGTTTAAAACCGCAAGTTCTCAAGCATTCACAAAAATATAAATTCACGACCTAAATAAATAAATACACAACCTCAATTTCTCAAACATATATAAATTCACAATCTCCTCAACTTCTCAAGCATTCACAACCTAAGAAAATTAAAGTTACAATTCCAAGCATTCCAATTAAAGTTAAACTTCTCAAGCATTCCAATTCCAAATCCTTTAAAGTTATAAACCAAAAGGAAAATGCAAAGCAAAATGAATTAAAGTTACAACCAAAAAGAAAAATCCAATTCAAAGTTAATTAAAGTTACAAACTAAAAGGAAAATGCAATGCACCAATGTTACAAACTCAAGTGTTGGTGGTGAGTGGATTTGAAGAACCCCGTTGTGTTGTTTGAGCACCAATGTTATCTACAAATAAAACAACATAGTTTAGTACATTTTATTATAAGAAGAAGCATAAATAACATTAGCATAAATAAACTAATTACTTACAAGTTGTCATATGTTTAATTTCCTTGTAGAATTCAACCTCATCATCCGTGCGGCTATACTTTGCGGTTTTTTCAGTTTTTCGATTTAAAATGCTACCCCTAGAAAATTGGCATCATGAAAAATTAAGATTGGAGACACCAGGACACGACATCATCAGCTCCCAGGCACAAGTTTGGGCTCAATTTGCCTTGCCAGGTTTGGTGGGTCCAAGCCTGCTGGAATTGCGCGAAGGGCCTTGGGCTCCCCCTGCCCGGGCCAGCCTCCTGCACTGGAAGTTCTCTTAGGCTGCGACAAAATCGGCGCTCAGACTATAATGAGGGGTAAGTTATAAGGGGTAGTTATAAGGGGTTCACTTTATAGTCATTGGATCAATCCAAGGGCTGGGGAGAATTGGGATAAAGTTGTGCAATCGGTAGGTGAGGAACCCAAACCCGAATTTAATATCCAGCAATGAAAAAAAAAAAAAAAAAAAAAAGAAAGATCGAAGTTTGAATAGAAAGAAACCCATTGATCTCAAACTCATAGCTCTGAGAAACCTCTAAACTCTGAGAAACGGTTGAAGGCAACGGGCAACAACGGTTGAAGGCAAAGGTTAACGACGGTTGAAGGCAACTCCACTATCCAAACCGTGAAAAAGTATTTATTTTGAGTGGAAGGAGCAAAGGCGTGGATTTTGAAACAGTGAAAAGACGAAGCAGTGGAAGGGGAAGGAGAGAAGCCGTATTCGTTGGAAGTGATAGGTTCCATTTGTGGAGCAAAGCCACACAAAGACCCAACACAGACACCTTGCGATTGTTCAATAACCAGCATTTGGTGAGTAATTTATGGAATTTGAGTTTAGGGTTAGAGTAACCGTTTTCCCCAATTTGTACCATAAATGTTGTTAGATTTGGCATCTCTTCTTTGTGCTTCACTTGCATGTTAATTTTTGCTTGGGTATATGTTAAAAAACGAATGAAAATAAAGTCAATAACATGTCAATAACATGTCAATAATGATATGAATAAGGTAATGGTGTTGAATTGGAGGAGGCCCTCAAAACCTTCCACATTTGAAGCAGTGCAGAGTGCAGATTATCTCTCTGGCGCTAGAATATATATAATTTTTTGAAATAAATATTATTTCCGTTGTTACTAAATTTGCCTGTTAAAAATGAGAACAGATAATAATAAACTCATGAATAAAAGTGCAAAGCATTTGAAAAAAGGTTGATCTATGACGATTATGGCTGACTGAAGAAAAAGCTAGAAAGAAAGAAGGATGTGGCAATGGCTTAGCGAGCAGATAGCAGAGCAGATGCTTTGCTTTGCTTCCTTCCACCATCTTTCTTATTTATTTATTTATTTATTTTGTGTTGTGTATGAGATGACAATAATTGTCATGTGTGTGAAGTGCAGAACTTGCCTAGATTGCACTCACACTCACTCATGCATCAACCATTGATTGGAGTTTGGATCCATAAATAAAACACATGCTATTGCTTGTAATTCACAGAATCATTGCATTAACAGGTATTTGCACAAAATATGTCATATTGCTTTGATGATGTTAAAGCCTGTGATCAGTAATCCCTATGCGCATGTACTTTGTAAAATTTGTAATGTGCTGGTTGACTAGTTGTGTAAATACCAATGTGATTGTGCAAATACGTGGTAGTATATGTGTTCACGTTATTTCATCTTGTATTTCAGGAAATGGGATCCAACGTTGAGCTGGTATGGCCAGAGTCAGAGGCATATTCCTCACGGGTGAACAACTGCTCACATGCAAATTCATCCCTAGCTGTAATTCGAGCGAAGTTGAGTGCCGAACAATTAGAACAATTCAAGACATCATGCTTTGGCCATCTTCTGAATATAGATAAGATTCAGTTTAGCGGGCAGATTGTGCATGGGGTTGTGTTGCGTAGAGTAGCGGGGCAGGGTGTGAAAGACTTGGATGGACTGAGTTTCTTAATAGGGTGCGACGTTGCTCAGTTCACTCGTCAGGATTTTCTGTTTGATCTCAGGGCTTCGTTTTGGGGAAGTGCCTGAAGTTTCCAGTGGAGAAAGTGATGAAATTAGACTTCAGAAAAAGATATTTTATAGACGAAGGAATTACATGTAATGCTTTAGAAGAAGCATTTGTGAGGTGCACAGAGGAAGATGACGTCTACAAGCTAGCTCTTGTTTACTTTGCTGAGTTAGTGGTTTTGGGAAGGGACAAACATTTGAACATCAATCTAAATTACCTGACCCTTGTAGAGGACTTGGATGCGTTCAACAGGTTTCCATGGGGTTCGGTGTCGTTTGACAAAACCCAAGACAGTCTGTTTTCTGCACCAACAAAGTATGTGAAAAGCTTTGAAAATGAAGAGGGAAGAGGGAAGGGGAAAAGTAAGGTAACCGGAACAAGCCGGAGAAATGAGAAGGGCAAGAAGGATAACCATGGTGAAGTGCAAAGGGGTGGTTGGAGTTTTAAAGGTTTCACGTATGCTTTCCAGGTACATGGTAATAATGTTCATGTCGTTATGTTTTGTTGACTTTAAAACTTAAATAATAACTTGTGTCCTGTGAATTGTGTAGATTTGGGTATATGAATTAATTCCTAGAATGGCGGACCTGAATTACTGCAAGGTTGTTGATCCGACAGCTCTCCCGCGTATTTTGCGATGGAGAACTACTACGTCTGTTCCCGAGATGAGAAAGTTGAACAATTATTTTTTCCAGAGCAAAGAGGTTTGGTTTGCAGCCCTTGGAACTATTTATAAGATTCAATGAAATTATGAAGTAGAATGATTGCATATGACTCTTGTCTGTTTTCTGAAACAGTCAGTTCAGTTGCGGGCGCTATGTCCAAGTGAAGAGGAAATGAGACAACCATATTGGAGTTGGCCACAGGGTCGCCCTGCTGTTGTCTCGGCAGAGTCAATTCCTTCTTCATGTGCTGACCTTGATGAGTTGAACAAGGCGGTAAGCTTGTTGAGGTCCGAGTTGTTTCAAGTAAAGCGGGAAAAGGACGTCCTTGAGTTAAAGGTCATACGGATGGAAAAAATTTTGGACCACTGTTTAGGTCCTCATTTTGAGCAGGAAGTGAGAAGGGACATAGCTTTACTGAAAGAGAGGACGAATCGTTGTGTCGTGTCACATCTATTTAAGGGATATGAGGAAGTGGATGGCATGCAATGGGATGAAGGGCCAAGTAATAGAAATGAAGGAGAGGAAAATGAAGAGGAGGACATTGAAGGGGGTGAAGGGCCAAATAACAGAAATGAGGGAGAGGACAAGGAAGAGGAGGGGATTGAAAGGGGTGAAGGGGCAAGTAAGACAAATGAGGGAGAGGAAAAGGAAGAGGAGGGGATTGAAGGGGGTGAAGTGCCAAGTAAGAGAAATGAGGGAGAGGAAAAGGAAGAGGAGGGGATTGAAGGAGGTGAAGTGCAAAGAAAACCAAGGGAGGTAGAGGAAGCTCAAAGGAAAAGAAGTGAGGGAGAGCAAGTGAAAATAAAAAGCAGCAAAGGAGAGGAAGCGCAAAGAAAGAGCATTGAGGGAGAGGAAGAACTGCAAAGAAAAAGCAGTGAGGGAGAGGATCCGAAAAAAAAAAAAAGGAAGGGCAAGGAAGTGAAAAGACAGAGAAGTGAGGAAAAGGAAGTGCAAAGAAACCAATGTGAGGAAGAGGATGATGAAGTTATGTTGGTTGGCGATGACATTGGCGAGAGCACGGAGGGGACAAAGGTTGAGGTTACTCTCGGGGACATTGATTTGGATCAACCTACAGCTGTGTTATCTCAGTTGAACGTTTGGTTGAATGATGAAGGTCAAGGTGTGGAACGAGGGGTCCAATTACGGAAGAGGAAGAGGATTATTCCTATGTGGAAGATCGTTGAAGCTAGTGAAGTGGTTAAAAAAATTTGCCAAAGACAACCGGACTTCGGACGTTAGACCCAATGAAGGCGATTCCGCATGATGATATGGTGAAATTGCTGAAACTTTGTTCGGAATGGCGCCATAACCCAAAGTAAGTCCTTTGTTTTTTGAGATAGAAGGCATGAGTGTATATATTTTTTAATTGTTGTGTTCTAAAACTTTTTTATATTCATAGTTTGGTGATGCAATTTGGCAACGTGGAAGCTGAGATTGAATTCTTCGCTTCCCTCGTCAAAGCTGACGGTTGGCTGAAAGGAGATGTAAGTTTAATTGATTATGCATTTGTTTGAATGTGCATAGATTATGAGATTGACAAGGAAAACATGTGCAGCACATTGATTTGGGCTTGTATCTCATCCGGAAGCGACAACAACAGTTGGAGGAAGTAGAAATATCGGACTGGACAACGACCGATGTATTTTTTATGGTATGTGATGCAGGATGCATAGGACCTAAATTGTTTAGTTTCCTAATTGATTTGTTAGTTTCCTATATTCTTTAGTTTTCCAAATCCTAGTAGGATTTCTAAGTTAGTTTTCCAAATCCTATTAGGATTTCTAAGTTTCCTATTTTATTAGGAATAGGATTTCTGTTTTACCTGGGGATTTTAATTCTATTGTCTCTAGGTTTTAGTTTGCTATAAATACCCCTATGTAGTTCTTTACAATTCAGATTTGAATATTGATTAAACATTCCTTTAAACTCTCTGATTTCTGCCTGCCTTCTACCTTTTCTTCCCTTCAGCTTTTCTTATCTGTTCTGTCTTATTGCTCTAAGTGTTTAAACTAACACACCCAGGCTGTGCTACATCAGTATGGCATAGGCCTTGACCAAGTGCAGTTAATAATTACAAATTATCCATACTTCCTTTGTGGAGGTGTTTAACCATTGATTGTTTTCTATTTCACAGAATCACATCCATACTTGCTTTGCGGATAATAAAAGGAAAAAAGAGCAAGTTGGGTGGAAAATTAGAACCAGTTTAGTGAACGTTGTAAATGGCAAGGTTCCGGCTTGTGGATTGGATTGGCAGAACACGTATAAGGTGTATGTACCTTGTATGTTGCCAAAATATAAGCATTGGGTGGCTCTAGAGATTGATCTGATTCAGTGTGAAATCAAAGTCTACGATTCAATGGTTTCACTCATTCCAGATCAGAGCTTAAAGGAAGAACTCGGCCCCCTGTCAATTACGATTCCAAATCTTCTGCACACCCTCGACTTTTATGAAGAAGGTGTTTACGCGAACGAGTGCACCCGAGATTGGTGGTGTCCATGGCCAATACATCGTGTGGATGTTCCACAACAGGCTAATCAGTGAGCACAACTTTTTATTTAATTTTATTACTTTAATTTGTCAATTACGTTAGAATGTCATTAGTTGAATTGATCGAGTTCTTGTTTTGCTTCAGAGGCGATTGTGGTATGTTCGTGTTGAAGTACATTGAGCTGTTGAGTGCTGAGATTCCCTTAGCTACTTGCACCTCGCAGAACATGCCATTTTTTCGGTTGAAGTTGGCTGCAGAAATTGCACGGGGAGATGCTTACATGCCATGATATCGGTTGAACTTGGTTTAGGCACATGATGATTAAATAGGTTTTGGGAATGTCCAATTTCAAAGTCATGTAAATACACAATAGAGACCCATGGGTCCTTTTCGAATTCCACCTCTGCTCCTGAATTCTTCTTCGTCTTTCTCAATCTTAGTGTATTTGTGTACAGAAATTTAGATTTAAGTTACTGGACAATAACAATTAGAACCAAAATAGTGGCAAATATTATAGCGGATGCATGCTTTCATTTCGATTAGTGTGATATTACGCTATTTTATTCTCATATTGTGCGAAATGTATATGGAGCTGGTTGCAGAGCATAGAAAAATGAAGAATCTGAAATGGAGATGCTGAGGGTTGGTGAGGAGAAAAGTAAATGGATCTGTAAATCTATTGCACGTGGGCAATCTAAATGGATAGGCAGATGCGTTTTTGAAGTTAGACACATGCCATTCCCATACATAGAATGTGCATATGGAGTGTAAAGTTTTTTTTGATGTAATGAAACAAACATCGGTGTAATATTGGCCTAACTCCTTCACGACATTTACCTAACCTCAACCAAACTGCATTGAATTGGGATTTGAAGACTGCATATGTGAATTGGGATTTGAAGAATGCATATTCACATAGGGACTGATGGCTTTTTAAGTGTATTACATCATTGCAAAGTGATATGTCATCATTTATCCAAGCCACCATTCCAAATATCAAATCCCAATCTTTAAGCCGGCAACAGACAAGCAATATACACGCAATAGACATGCAATATACATTAGTCCCCAATTACATCAACTATAAGGAAGTCGTATTGAATAGGAAATTCTACTTAACAGTAGTTCTTCCTACTAAAACAAAGAATAAGGACCGTTTCCCCCCTTAAATCTAACTTGAGTCCTAATTTTGCCCCCAATAAACATGCAATATTGGAGCAACAACATGCAATATACATGCAGTAAACACTCAATCAACTTTCAATAAACCTTCAATATCGGTTCAATAACATGTGAAATACATGCAGTTAACAATCATGAAACCTTCACGAAACATGTAAACAATCAATAAACCTTCAATAAACACTCCTTCAATAAACATTCAATATCATGCGATTTACATGCAGTAAACAATCAATAAACAATCTATATACACTGAATAATTATGTAATCTTCAAAAAAAAGGTATTGTCTTATTATTGCATCGTATTGGCCCTGTATTGTAATTTTATCGTCTTCGTATGACTTTATTTTTGTAAAGTAAGTCTAGGAAAGTTTTTACTGGGTTTCTGACAAATATATGCTTTTGTTTCAAACAATAATTTAAACTCAATGCCAATCCACCTATTTGAAGAACAAAAATTACAAATTGGGTTTGAAAAGTCATTGGTGGTGCGTGCAACATGTGTTTTTGGGGAGAACTTTTACAATCCTTGAAACAGTGCACTTAATTGGTCATTAAAAGAACAAATAATATGACAATTGATGCAACTAATAAAACTAATACCAAGTCCTTAATGGACTTCAGCATATTAAGCACTGTAGCATCATACGTGTCAGCTTGCTGATCTGCTTCAGCGGAGGTTACATCAACCCATTCGAATCCATTGCAACTGGTGGCTCCCTAATTGCAGGCATCATATATGCAAAATAATTCTGTCAAAGTTAGACCTAGGATTTTTTTTCACCCACATACATATTCTGGAAATGAGAACTTACATAGGAGGTTAGACACTTCCAAAATGGCTTCCCTCGATTTTTATCTGATTTTGAAACCCGAAGCGCCATTGCAGCTCCACAATACTGACACCTCTTTGTTTGAGCGGGAGATGAAGACGAAGACATGTTGAATCTTATCACTTGTACCTCTTCTCACTCAGATCTTCTCACTAAAACCTCTTCGGACTCATACCTTCTCAGTCATACCCCTTCACTCATAAGTCATAACCCTAAACTTCTCACTCAGCTCTCTCTCATCTCTGCCCAAATCGAATTATATCCTTCTTTTCTGTGTGTGGGTGGGTTGGTCACGATCTGGACACCTGTACCATCAGAATTGTGACACCTTTTACTCCGAAAAGCGATATACTATTTCACTACCAAATATTAATCTTACAATTGAGGGGACACTGCTTTAAATATATTATTTTCTTTATATTTCATTAAGGCAACTAGTTGGATAAGAATCCGTCATTTACTAGGGGTAGTGTGGTGTGGGGAAAATGAAAAAGTATCTGATGGGACCTTCTGTCACTAGTCAGTAATCCATCACATTTGTATCAATGAATTTAATGGCGGGAAAAGCCTAACAATGGCTATGGAAATAGGTTATTAATTGACTTTTGGACGGTCTGACTCCCTTTGCATTTCGATGACGTTTTCCCTTCGCCTGTCTTATGTTTTGGGTGTTGGGTTCAGTTTCTTTAAAAAGGGTCAACTTGGAAAAACCCCAAGGAAACACCTTTTCAAAACAGTGCAAACAGAGGCTAAAACAAACCCAATACCCCGTATATTCTCATTTCTCCCCTCTTGCAGTCCTCAAATCGTTCCATTCCAAAAATATTTCAATGAATTCGAAACATTACACTACAGTCGGAGGAAAGAGAAGGAAGCATCTCCATCTGGATGTGCCTCAAGCCTTCATCCCGGAATTAGCTTGGTTTAAAGTGATGTTATACGTGGCAACCCAATCATCGGAAGATCTCTTTCGTATGGCATCTGTGTGCCCATTGTTCAATACGTTGGCAAACACTCCACAAGTGTGGAACACAATTTCAATGGAAAAGTACCAAGACCATCCTAACTGGTACTATGCCTCAACGCAGGTCCGGCATTTCGTGGAACAATGCAGGGCTTGCGAGAACCGTGAGGCGATATTTAGAGAAGCGTTCGACGTGTTTTTCAGGCAGGGTAATGTGGAAGCATTGTCTGGGATGCGCGTTGCAGCCACGGCAAGCCATATGGAAGCGGCATATCTAGTTGGACTACTTGGCATGTCCGGAATTGGTCAGTCAAAAGAGGATGCATTAGAATTCTTGTGTTCTTTGAATCAACGTAACAACATTGATATGAAAGGAACCAGGGATGCTTTGAGACGACGATTAAGCGGAATTTTCTCTGTTGGAAGACATATTGTAGATATGTTTCACTATGGGAAGATTAAGTTCAATCAGTGCAGCGCTTGTAACAACAACGACTGGTGTTTTGTTATTCCAGGCTGGCCTAGTGAAGAAAAGATCAATCCTGCCTTCTGGACTTGTTGCAATCGATGCAAATGGCACCGTGAGAGTGTTTTTTGGTTCAAGGTGATGCGTGTCTATGTTGTGCCAGGGAATCCATACCCTTATAATTAGTTGTAGTATGTTTCTACGGTTTTTATGCGTGTCTATGTTCTACAAATGTTGTTTTCTATTTCATGTTTTAATCTATTTTGTCTGGTGTTTGTTTGTGCTGTCCTAAACCGTTTTA